CGAACTTGAATTTCGAACTTGAATTTCGAATATTTTGACGTTTACTTGTTTAATAATAATTTGACATTCAGTCACACCGAACAATTGAAAATATTAGTATCACTTTAGTTTAATGCGTTGTTTACAATCGGCTTAAAAGTCGTAATTTTGGTGGGAAAATGGTTTTAACATACGAACAAGCTGAACGAGCATGTGGATTTTTGCTCTTGAACGAATTCAATGAATTTACTTATTGTTGTAAAATGTGTGGCTATGAATTCGGATTAGGCACTCAGCTAGAAGAGCACATCTTAAGGGAACATCAAGATGTAAAAAGTCGCATCGAGAATGTTTTTGTGTCTGTCGGTAATTTTGAATCAATATTGGACGACGTAGACCAAAAACTCATGACAGTCGATGAAATTAAGCAGGAAATCGATGTGGAGCCGACAGAACTACAAGAACCCGATTTCAGAAACACCGTCCAATCATCAGGATTTTCAAGCGTATTTGTGAATGAGGTGAACTATGAGATGTATGGAAGTGAATTAGTTGAAGAAAAAACCGATGATTCAAACAGCAAAAGTCCAGAAGACCGGCCGATTAAAGCACATAGAATAACAAATACAGTGACAAAACCGCCACAGATCGATCCAAACAAATATTATTGTGATATGTGCCCATTCAATGAAGTGAATTTCACTTTAAAGGCAGATCTAATGAAGCATATGAGAGGACACAACACGGCAAAAAAACCAAAGCCATGTCCGATTTGCAGTGAAATGATACAAAATGTAATGACACATGTAAGGACCAAGCATCAAGAACTCAATGGCAAACCGTACAAATGTACTTACTGTGAGAGGAGATTTCCATCGGAACACTTACTGAAGAATCACATAAGGACACACACCGGAGAAAAGCCGTTTCTCTGTGCAGACTGTGGGTCTGCCTTTAAAACTAACAGCGCTTTAAAGTCTCACATCGACAAAATACATAAAAGTGGAAAAATAATGCCATATTCATGTGCCGATTGTGATCTATCGTTCTCATTGAGGTATAAATTTGAACACCACCGACTCTCCGTACATTCTGACCAAAGGTAAATCTACATTTAATGCAATTTAAAGTGATAATTACATCATTCTAAAATGATTAATCTTTTGATTTTACAAAAAACAAATTAACAAAAAAAATATTGAAATATTTTAAAGGCCCTATGTGTGTGATGTTTGTCAGGACCGATTTAAATCCCAATCAACCTTGCGTAATCATAAATTTACACATGGAGAAAGAACAAACACGTGTAAATTTTGTCAAAAAAAATTCAAAACCAACGATTATAAAAGACATCACGAGAGAAAGGTTCACGGCGACATTTATAGAGGTAACGAAAGGAGATATCAAAGCTACGAGGGAGATTTCTAATGAAGATATAATAACATTTTCTTGAAATATATTGGATTTAATTTTCTAAACCTTATTTCAGTTTATTTACACAAATAAAAGTATTGAAAAATGAATTTCCATGTAAAAATAAATAAATAAAAAAATAACGGTTGCAGAACAAATCCGAGCAAATCAAAGACACTTTTTTTTATCCAAACCATTTTTCATACTATTTCAGCTTTCTACGTGTCACAAATCACACTCGAATATTAATCAAGTAGCCAATTTTTATAGTATAATTCTAAGAATTTAATTAAAAATTCATGGTTAATTTGCTTGAAGGTTCAAACTTGTTTTTTATTCCGAATTTTATGCTGTGCTATTTTTTGTTGTTGTTATATCAATTAATTTTTGAAAAAGTGAGTATTTTTATTTAATTGAAACTGGATGATGCATATGGGTGACAAAGACGCTCAATGTAAATTCAAATGGTTCATTTGTCATATTGTCTTGACAATTTTCATTGTCGATTTCATTCAAACGACGAAATATATATCAATTAAAAATCGTTCCAATCCATTCGGTGAATTTGCGCAATTTAAACAACTTGACACAAATTTACGACCACACAAAAGAAACCTGATTCGTTGGAGTGAGTGTGGAAAAAAAGTGTGTGCGCAAAACAAAAAATAAATTTTCGAGAAGCACACAGCAATGACGGTGTCGGTTCGAAGTTCGAGAGAGTATGTTTGTCAAAGCGCAACGACGTGTTCTCCAGGCCAGCGAATACTAAAAATAGTTTCGCCGTTTCGTTTGTTTTCTCTGTTTTTCTCGGTATATTTCCCGATTGGCGTAAAATAACGTCGGAAAAAAAGAAATGTCGTGGATTTTGGTATTTTTATTTTTGAAAAGTGTGTTCCTTGTATTTCGTAGCGCTTTTTCATTCGATCGAAAATAGAAAAGGTGTCCAAAAACATTACTCAATCCTGACATCATTATGGAACATTTTTTTTTTCGAAATCAAAAACAAATTCTTCTGGCTCACCCACAAATAAATATATGCTTTGAAATGTTTGTGGCACATAATATGTATATCTGGGCTTTATATTTTGTGCCTCAAGTTCAATTAATTTCACAAAAATTAGCCAAATGAATCTAATTAGTTATGTAATTTAGCGTTTGGCAATTGAGTTCATCACTTACATCGGTTCGATATGATTTATGTGAGTGGCAGTTTTCGGGATGTTTCATATGCAAAGCACACCGTCGTTGTTCAGTCGAACACTTTTCCAAGCAATTTACATGAATGAATATTGCCTTGAAAATGTGCAAAAAAAGTGCATCACGATCAGATAATTACACGAAAAAAGATTGCCGCGTTGGCATTTTAAATAGATTCCAATGGTGAAGGGAAATACATATTTTGGACGTCAGATTATTGGCATTGCTCTAGAAAAACGCGGCTTATAATTGAGATGCAAGAAGAGAGCGAGAGAGATGAAGAGCAAAAACACTCGTTGAATGATTAAAAGTATATAGCAGCCTACTTAATTTCAATGTTTGTCACTGTTTTCGTCGCCAGAAATCCAAAATTCACGCCAAATTACCAGCCGACGTTTATTTTCTTAAGCAGCCAAAATCTTGGACACTCGTTCTCGTGCCTCCCTTTTTTTGCCGAATCTTTATGTGTGTTTATTAAGATTTAATCGCATTACCATTTCCGAATGGGTCGCTTTCGTTATTACATAGCATTTTCTTCACTCACATTTTATAAGTCTGACGTGGCTTGTAGCTTCTTTTTTTTCGCCAGTTGTTATTTGCTCGTTTTGCCATCGTCTGACAATTTTCTTCATAATGCATATATATCGAATATGACGAGATGAGATGCACAAGCGAAGCGAAGAAAAATCAAATAATTTTTCAAATTTTTGCGTCGCACTTGAATCGTTTCTGTTGGTTGTGCGGTGTGTTGTGCTCCAAAATAATTTCGTCTGTGTTTATTTATTTATTTATTGCGCGCAATGCTTGCACCGTTAAAATCCGCTGTTTGTATATTCCATGTGCAATTAAATCATAAAATCCATGTTACACCAGTCGCCCAAATAAACATCAGTAAAACACACATATCGTACACATCGTGTACAATACACGACAGTTTGAGAGACGAGACGAATGCAAAATAACAACAACCACAAGGCGAACGAAATGGAAGACCGCAAATAGATGCATGAACTAGTAGATTAAATTAGAAAATCATGAAAAACTTTCTTGGCACGAAAATGTGTCCACGAGAATTCAACTTTTTATTTTTCAGCTCCTCTATTTATTTGGTTCGATATATTTCCAACAAGCAAGGAGTCCAATCGCACACATCGTATGCGTATTATGAGCGAATGAGTGTCGCGTAATTCACATTCATGACACGCACTTTATGCTATATTTTCACATTTACTTGTTCATTTTTGGAAAATGTATTCAGACGACTGTTAATTATTATTATTATTGCCATTGCAATGAGACACGCATTTCAAAAGTCAATTAATCGCGTCCAGCTACAGCTTGATTTATGAGTTGTTGATTATGACAATAAAGTGCAGTCGATGCAAAACAGACGAAAGATCTTCATCACATAGACACACACACACCACACACCACACACCACACACCACACATACACCGAGCCCGAGAATATTTCGTTGAACTTTTATGCAGGACTGACAACATGGCATACACCATGTCTCTTGCGCTAAGAATCAACAGAGCGAGCAATTTGAAAATGGTCTGCCGTTCAACCTATGGACACATAACATGCAATTCAATGAGACACAATAAAACAGTTTAGACAAACAAGCTAGCAGATTCTTGATTAAATGCCAAAAACCAAAAACATATTATATCATGTCATTTTCGTGAAGCGGAATCGATAAATTCTATGGCTGAGCTCATAAATATTTCTCGCTTTTTTTGGTAACGCATTTGCGAGCGATACATTCAGAAACCCTTAATGCGATCAATGCACCCACAAAGTTCGATCAGAAGTTGGGCAAAAACGAACACATAATCGAAATAAAAATTGCATTGATTCCTAATTTAGTCAAATAGTTCTGACTATTCTACCGTTCATATCAATGTGTTTGCAAGTACGAGGATAGACACGAGCTTATTTAAGCTAGGGCCAAGTTATGAGTAACGTTTTTTACACATCCAAAAATGATTTTTGGTGGTGTAACTCCATTCTCTCTCTCTCACACTCTTTTTTTTCGGCCAGCCCAAAACATTTATAGAATTTCATAGTGTTTTGTAGTGCTGGCTTTTCTTTTCCCCTCCAAAATACAGTAACGATCACATGAGCGATTTTTCACGAAATAATATAGATCAATTCTAGCCTGCAACGACACACACACACACAAACGATTTTCGATTCTGTCGAAAGCATTGCCGAAACTCTTGTTTTACATATGTGTACACACGATCGATTGTGAAGTCGACTAAAGAGAAAAGAAAGAAAAAATCTTCACGAAAATAAATTGCATTTTCTAAACACAACACAAAGATATAGACGAAACAGTTTCTAGTCGATTGGTGTGTGATTTTCATTCTCTCGGCTCTATTGGCCGTTGTTCGACCACATTGAAATGTGTCGTTTTAGAAGATAAACGGAGCATCAACTATAGTAGATTCGGTCGCGCAGCCACCGATTGTGTTGTTTCACACAATTCAAGACAATCGATGTCAAGTAACAAACAGTCGTATTCTTGAGCTCATCATCAGCGCACGTCAATCACGCTGCCAATTGGAACATAATTTTTTTTTTCGGTACCTCTATCCTGTCTTAATAATAAGAACATTCGTCGTCTTGAGGCTTTTTTTCTCACTCATTCAACAAAACGACAGAGAGAGATCGATGCGATAAAATTGCGATCGATCCATCCAGTGAAGACGACATCGAAGAGGACATTTTTATTTGGAATCCCCAGCCAATCAACAAGCAATAAATAACGAACAATTTCTAATCAGGTGCGATCAATTTAAGCAAGAAAAAAAAAGATCAGTTTAATTTGAATGTAAAAAATGTCGACCTGTTAAATGAGTTCTTTTTTTTTTTGTGTGTGTGAATTTTCAATCGTTCAAACGTGATTGTACGAAAATTTAGTGCCTGTTTATTTATATATACACCACTATGTGTTTACGCATAAATATGTGTGCTTGTCTCGCGCGATCCGAAATAGAGAGATAGAAACAGAGAAAAGACCATTCTGCGCTCCAGGTTACTTAAAATATACACCGAAATAGTTTGCGAGCGAGTGAGCGAGCGTGCTTGTGCGCGACTTGTGTGTGAATAGACTAAAAAGGGAAGAAAAAAAGTAGTTGATAAAAAAAATGTACAAAAAGAATCGAACGATGACGTGCGTCAGGGAACAGGAATACGTACATTTACTGACAGATGGACTCAGACAGACAAGATCTTGTAATTAACTCTTTTTGATATATTTTAGTTGTGCGCGAGCGCGCTTACGCCAATGGAAAATGGTGTAATTTTCATGTGTGTGGAAATTCGAATGCGATGAACCGCAAGATGAGCCGAACGAAAAGGGACGTTTAACGAACGCGAACACAAGCAATAAAACCACATAATTTAAAGCATGTTTTCTTTTTTACTTTTCTAATATTTATTTTCGCTTTTTTTCCTTATTTTGCGTCTACATCGAATATTGGAGCGCTCACGCACACACACACACACACTCACTCACTCATTCGCGTCAGACAAACTGCGAGTATTGAGTCTAATTTTTCCATTAGGCAACTGCGATGAGTTTATCATAACAGAGCATTAAAATCATTTCTCATGTTTCTCGCCTCTTCTTTTTACAGTCGATCACGCGCTACTGTTTTTCTCTTTTTTCATGTTTATTATTATCCAAATGTACAATACGCGCGTTTTTCCTATCTCTCAATCGTTTGTGTAAGATGCTATAATCGTTTGAGGAGCCGAGTCAGTGTTCGAATTTTTCGGCGCTTACATTTCGCCAATTCCGCGTATTTTATATTCTCCAGGTCTGTGTTTAAAAATAGTTTAGCCGGCGTAGTTCAATACCTCCTCCGTCACAAGTGGAAAAAAACGTAAATCGATTTACATTGTAAAGGAAAATAAGCGAGAATTCCAAAAAAAGATGATCTCGTCTTGGTCTGTTGGTGAAAATCGAGGATGAGGAAGAAAAAAACTCGAAATCTCTCCAATAAAATTGTCTTATTTATTTGTTTAGCATTTTTATTATGTTAATTTTACTTTAACTGAGCATTTGGCACTCGGTGTGAACCAATTCTTAAATATATTTTTTTTTCACTTCGTTCCCGTTCCGAATTTTCTCTCGCTTTTCATCAGCAATTCAAAGAGAAATTGAGTCTGAACATACCGAATTTTTATTTGATGCAATTGAGAACACGACACTGTGCGAGGGACTAAAAGAGAGAGAACGAGAAGGAAAATGCAATGCAGAAGCAAAAAGGGAGATTGAAAAATATTTGTCCTTTGCAACGATAATATAGCAATACTTGGGCCTGATAAAAATGTATAATGTATTTGTGTGATGTTCTATTTAAAAGTTAATCGTTTTTAGTAATGGACATGAACTATACACATTTGCGACGAAATAGAGCGTTCGAACATAGCAAACGTACGAACGAGAAATAGGATCGAGAAAAAAAAATAAGACAATACTTGAGTTTCTGGCATGGACGCAACGTGTATATGAATAAAGTTGTTTTTCCGTTTGCGTTTCAATGTGTCCTCACAACGAAGAAACCAATCGCAAATGCAGCCTGCCACCGTCCTTTTCTCATTTTTATTCTTTTTTTCTCTCTCTATTCTCGTTTCGGACACAGTTAGCCATACAAAATTTAGCGATCTCTCTCTACCGTGCAATATGTGCGCGTTCACATAATGATCAGTCCATTCGGTGAAGAAAAAAAGAAGAATACAGATTCACATGAAAAACAATTCATGTTGTAATGGTTTCTGATTTACAAAAAAACTCATGCTTCTAAATATAGCGGCCAAACGTGCGTAGTACTTTTTTCTCCTCGCCAAAGCAATTTGCATTCAATTTCTTCGGCTCTTTTTTTCTTCTCTCTTTCGTTTGGGTATTTAGCTTTGTTTATCTGGTATTCCGATTTGAATTTGTCACTTTTGCTGGTACGAATTGAAATTAGCCGTGAGCATTTGTTCGTCCGTTCTTTATAGACACAAGTAAGCCACTTTGCATTCTCTTCAATTGTTGTATTTGGCCCACCCGTCACACCAATTTTCATATATGTATGAGTGTATGTGTGTGTGATCCCGATATTTTCTTTGATTTTGCATCACATCTTTCCCACCTCGTGTCCTCAGCGTATACATATTTTTGACGAGCATGTTTACGTATATCGATGGCATAAATTAATTATTATTATTTATTCACCAAGAAACAGTACCAAGACAACAAGTGTCCTGAACGAAAAAAAGAAGAAGAAGAATTGCGTGGCATGTAAAATGCATATTTTTTCTCATATTTTTCCCTCATTTTTCTCATTTTCAAGCGATATAGTCAAAACAAAACGTTGAAGTGTTATTGATGTGTTGCTTGTTATTTGGATACCGTGAACGAAAAGTGGAGATTTTTTATTGGACATGATTTATTTGGATTCAGTGGCAGACATGTGTTACATTACGAGTGCGCGATGATTAATTTACTGCAATATTTGCGTAAAACGATGTACATTGTACACACACAAACAACATCAAAACATTATTCGATCCCAAAATGATCGAATCGAGCAATGGAGTCGATCTCTCCTCGGCCGACACAGTGTGAAAGAGACTGGTGTACAATCGCGTGCGCTCAATCGGTCGTTCATTTAGTGCTTAGAAATTCTTTGCTGCGTTTTCAAATATATGTACATAGATATATATTATAGGCACAAACAGTACTTTATCAATTGAATTGCACAAACTGTAAACGATTCGTCAAACCCGCGCGAACACATGACTGACGATGTTGTTTATTATTGCATTGCAGTGATATAAAAATAACGACGTACCTTTTTTGCGCCGTGAATAGCCACCGAAATTGTGAGAATGTGTTAAAAATATATTTGTGCAAAAGTTTAGACGATTTGGAAATTGCATTAATCACACATTTCAGAACATTATACGTGCCACTCACTCTTTGCCTGTCGATCTAATTGTATCCCATTCACTCTTGCACGCGCACACGTAAACAATCGACCAGATTTATGCACACTTCGTATACTTCTAATTGAACGTTAACCCATTAATGGCAATTGATGGATTTTTGTTGATTTACAATCGTTTCGTCGAACTTATTTCAATGTTCAATGGAGGGTTTTTCTTTTCCAATTTTATTGGCATTGTAAAATGTCCATTTCGAAGAAAAAAATCTCCTTTTTTTTGCATCATCTTCAGTCGAGCATTTCATCTCCGAATCAAAGGCAAAAAATGAGTTAAAAAACATAATGGTCTTGAGCAATTGAATCAGTTTCTCTTATGAGAGAAGGAGAGAGGACGTGCCGAAACTATTGTTACGAATTTTCGAATTAAAAATAAAATTTTCGTTCTATGATTTGCCTTGCTCCTTCCCAATAAAACATTCCGTCTTCTTTTATTTAGTTGATTATTTTCCTTGTTGAAGCATCTATCTTGTTCTCTCCACCTTTCAGTCATTATGTCGCATGTTCTCGTGTTCACTTCAGCGAATGCATGCTTGTAAGTGACTGTGTGTGTGCATAGATTTTTTAAATGCGCGCTCGAATGCTCGAATTCCTGACTTTGCCACATTAAAAACAAATTTTTGATTGACCAAAATTTCTGGGCACATCACCGTTTTGTAATTACGAAATAAAGGACAAACAGAGACCGAACACAGAATGTGCAATACAATGACAATATCTCTGAGTGATTGGATTAGAAGGAAAAACAAACGAATTACGAAGTAAAAAACACTTCACCTTGTTTTAAAATAAAAATAGACGGTTGGATTTTCGGTCTGAATGATTTGACCGATGTATATTGAATTTCTTTTTAGTTGTTCACGGTATAAAGTACTTATATTAGCTATTTTTTTATTTATTTCTCTTTTTGTCGTCTTGCTTGTTACAGTGAGATAAGGGCAAACTTCCAACGTGACCGTGATTCAAATTCGTTGATTTATTCTCAAAGAAGCATCAAAAGACTGAACGTGCGTACAGGTGATAAAAATACATCAAAACTATATAGAAACAACAACAACAACAACAACAACAAAGAATAATACAAGATGAACCACATGTCAACGCAACAATCATCACCTACACCGCCGAATTTAACACAGCAATTTTGCCTTAGATGGCACAATCATCAGGTGAGTTTTGATACGAGCCACACAAAAAAAATCTAAATTCTATGGATGGTGTGTACGGTAGTCTTTTTTTTTTGTTATTGCTCAATCATTCAAATGAAAGAGCGAAAAAAAAATGTTGCGAGTGTTTTCGAACGCGTAAAGTAAATGAGCTGAAATTACGTGGGCATTCAAAATGTCTGAAGTGGCATTTTTAGTGCAGTTTCCAAGTAATAATAATATCGGTCATCACGTTCAATACCATTTGAAATTTGGACAGTTATGCATTTGCGGTGAATTCATGCGACAATGTCGTCAATCGTCAAAGCACGTAAATTATGTTAATTACCCGTGAAAAAAAAAAACAATGATAATGCCATTTTCGCCGTTCGTTTCCTCACTTTTTCGTTCAACTCATTCTGTTTTCAATTTAAACGGAAAATTAATTGAATTTTATCGCTTGCGTCGAAAATATCTCAATTTAATTAAACAGTTAAAACAACAACAATCTGGAGCGAATCGCGTACGTGCGCATCCATCTTTTCCAATTACAATTTGTAATGTTTTCTACTACGTCGCATTTTTTTCTTTCTTTTTTCGATTTTTTTTTCTTCGAAAATTGAAGACGAGTTTGTTAACATCTTTACCGCTGCTGTTGGATCAATCACACTTAACGGATGTCACTTTATCGGCCGAAGGGAGAACAGTTCGAGCACATCGTGTTGTTTTGAGTGCATGCAGCTCATTTTTCTCGGAATTATTTCGAACATTGGATGCTCCATTTCATCCGGTGATCGTGATTCCCGGGGCGACATTTGGCTCAATTGTCGCTTTGTTGACTTTTATGTATTCGGGCGAGGTGAATGTTTTCGAAGAACAAATCTCTACTTTGTTATCGCTGGCCGAAACTTTGGGCATCAAAGGACTAGCCGATATTAATGGGGTGAGAGTTTTTTCTATCTGCATTTTTAACAGTTGTAATCGTTTACTCGTCAACAGTTTATCGTTTCTTTTCCTAAAAAATAATTTTTTTAAAAAATATTTTCCATTGTAGAAAAATCAATCGGCAGATAATGAATCAGGCACAAAACCATTGCAAAGTCCACCGCCGGCGGCTGTTTCACCTGCTTCGCCATCACCACCACCAGTTGTAAACTCTTCAATGGTGAACTCACCGACAAAATTCTCATTGCCGCTGGAAAGTATGTTGGCAAAAACCTTTCTATGCCCATCAATGTTGACAAATCCATTAAATCTGTCACCAACGGCAATAAGCCGAGGTGCCGAGCTTTTTTCACGCTATCAAAATCAATGCCGTCTAAATCAAATGGAGCAAAAAAACCAAGACTCAATGCCATTCGATGAAAATGGTAATTCGAAAACATTTTTGAATATCGAAACAAAAGGAAGAAAATCAAAGTTGACAGACACCCGTAAAATTGATAAAATCGCTGAAAATTTGAGATCATCGTCAAAAGATCGAACGCTAATTGTTGAGCAGCATGATCATTTGAATAAACTTCCGTTGGTACCACAGAATCTAACGATACCGATGCCGTTGGATATGAAGACGGTTGCCAGTTTTAATGTAATACCAAACCGTTTTGGAACAATGCCACTTGGCAATAGTGATGATATGAAAGCAACAAAAGATTGTCTAAATAGTTTGGGTGCTGGCTCAAGCTCATCTTTGAACGATGTTAATATTACATCGGATACAGCGCTGAAAAAGAGTTTGGCACCACCACCAACAACAACAACGGCCGCATGTACACCATTGAATCCAAAACAAGCCAATTCCAAATTATACGCAACATGTTTTATATGTCACAAGCAATTGAGCAATCAGTACAATTTACGCGTTCATCTTGAAACTCATCAGAATGTCAGGTAATTATGGAATGGATTCTTTTTTCGAAAAAATGGTTATAATAAAGGGCTCTTCTTTCGTATGTAGATATGCATGCAGTGTTTGTTCGCATGTGTCACGTAGCAAGGATGCTCTACGGAAGCATGTAAGTTATCGTCATCCAGGAGCTCCAAGCCCATGTGATGAATCGAAACGCAAACGTGCCCGAAACTCCATATCTGTGGCAATGATGCAATCTCAAATGCAACAACAACAGCAGCAGCAACAACAACAACAGCAGCAGCAGCAGCAGCAGCAGCAGCAGCAACAACAACAGAAAGATGCTTTGATATCATCACCATCATCGTCGTCGTCGTCATTGGTTTCATCTCCGGTGGTTATAAAAAATGAGATTGTCAACGATTTGAGCATGGCATCGACTGCACAAAAGATGAATGAACAATCGTCGTCTCCATTTTCGCATCAACAGATGCTCATGTCTAGCGAGGCGAACAATTTAACTGGATCTCCGTCAACTTCTTCCACCGTACAAACACCGTCCACAACAGCGTCAAGCTGCTTTTTAATGCGTTCGAACATTGACACCGGACCCACAAAACGCATCTGAATTTATGAAGCTCCTGTTGACTGCATTGTTTAATTTAATCAAAGAAGAAAGAAATAATCACCGATTCTGACATAAATGGTGATTGATATGCACACAGCACAAAACACACTTTAACATACACACACACAAATTCAAAACCTCAAACCGAACAACCAAACCACAATAATAAACAAAGCAACTTATTCGATTCGTATCGATCAACTCAATCGAATCCATGAAAACAAAAATATATTTTTTGTTTGAATACAAATGTATTTCTCTTTTAAAGTACTAATCATGCACTAATAAACAAGAAAAATATTAAGTCGCATTTAATATTGGAAACAAACAAACAAAAGCGCTGACCGATTGAGATTGCATGGCGATGGGCCGCGAAACAGAAGCACCAATACAAAACACGAAACAACCGTGCACCAATACGTGTATGATGACATCAATTGAAAAGACAAAAAATGTATTTAAGTAAAATTCGGTTTAATTTTAATGCACACCACCTCAACTATGATGATTACCATTTCAATGACTAAACCATTAATTTATTGATTTTTGTTTCTCGTTAAGTATAGAAAATTCAATCTAGACAATTTTTATTTTTGTAGATTTCCTTGTATCACCTCTTTCGAACAATTTTCCTTTCCTTTTTTTTCTTTCCCACCTTTAAATCCAATTCATATGGCAACACTCAAAATTCACAATGGAAATCTATACTGAGAGAGTAGATTTGATTTTAAATTTAGCTTTATGTTAATGAGATATTAAGTTTTCCTTTTTTTTTTTAAATGTAGATAATCCTCCCTAGCTGTGATAGAAATTATAACACTGGTTTTCGTATTTTTTTTCTCTTTCTTTCTCTTAATATTTTAGAATATAATTTGAAAACTTTGCAGGACAAGCCACTTAATCGCACAATTTATTTAATGATACATACTATGAAATTTAAACAATTTTATTTGAACTTGTACGGAAATTATACACAAATGTGAAGAAGAAGAAAAAAATAAACAAAACAATTCTGATTCACTTAGCCAAGCGTGTTTCATTTATTGCTGTTGATTGATGTGCTTTCAGGAGCAAAAATAGTTAATCCACAAATTTCATGCAAATCATCAAAATTCGATAAATTGCCGATGTTAACTGAAATGACAAAAAAACAAGCAAATTGAAAAAGAAAAAGAGATCGGTTGAATTGATTTAATATGACCAAACATTTGTTGCCGTTTCAGCATTTAGTTCAGAAAGGGGGCCAATCGAAAGGATCGCACCATTTTGCGCTCTATTTACAATGAAAGCCACATCTTTTTGATGACATTTGGGCATAAGATACCATGGCAAAGCATTAAAAGCAGCTTGAGCTCGTTCATTCTTTGAAACAGAAATCGATCGAAATATATTTGTGTATTATAGTAAATGAGGAAAGAAATGAGAATAGTTTCTAAGAGATGATCATGACTATTTGGATTTTTAAACTTATACTTTATAAAACTTACAGCTTCTACTACGTTATTTCCCATGTAACAAATTATTATCAGCTGTGAATATGTTAAAATAGCAAATCCATACCCACATCGAAATCCAAGCTAAAAATTTATCATAAAAAATAATCCAAAATAACAAGCCAACTATTTGTGCATGCCATGGGGCTAAAAATGTAGAAAAAACAGAATACTTGCAGCATATTGACAGAAGATTGACATTGACACTGAATAAACGATCAAAACTGGTGCTGAAAACATTCTCCAATAGTATAATGTTGCCATATCCAATATATAACGGTCCATATCTTGATATTTCATGAAAATATTTCAAAGCTTAACATAAATCTGATGCGGTGGCGTTGTTCCAGTTTCCAATTGATTCCCTAATTCTGAACAGTCCATTAAAATAATCTCTGAACATAACATGATTGTATTGTTGATGATGCACGACGTTGTTTCGATGGCCAAACCGCCGATTGTACCAAATGTAGTAATCGTTGTTTGAAGCATCAAATTAAGGTGAAAAGCCCACACCACATCTTCATCGAGGAATGGCAATTTTATGGCCAAAAATGTGATCAAATGACCGGTCTTCATAAATTCCAACATTGGACCGATCATTGCTTGAGCAGTCGATAATAGGATAAAATTCATGAACAGTATCGTCATTCTTATCGATTTTTTACCATAAAAATCGCATAAATTGTTCAATTTGGTGTCTTCTTTTATGTCCGATTTTTAAAAAGTTTTTATTTCAAATATAAATTAATTATAATTTTGTTTTTAAATTTTAGTACCTTTTGTATCCGGATAGATGAAATCGGTCGCAAAAAGCAAGATTCGTCGGTACATAAAGCGATTGGAGTTTATGGTTTCAAAGTACAATAGGACACTCTGGAAAATTGTTATTATTGAATTTTTTTCGAGTTCTTAACTTTAATTTCATGGACTTAGAAATGATTGCATAATTTTAAATAAACATATTATTATAAGTCACGATAGACGTATTTTATGATTTCAATATTTGTTTAGCAATCATTATAATTTTATTTGTCTATATACTTAACTGGAACGGCAATTCCAACAACGCACGTTGCTTTTATGCCGTGCGAAAAGTTATTATTATAAGTATTGTATATAACGGTGTAAACGGCCAATATCAAATAAATGAGCACCATAGTACCAGCTGCATAAGATAACCAAAACACTCGACTATCACTTAAAAATCGAACACCAATTGAATCGCACATTAAACGACAAGCCTTAACAACCAACATAGCTTTCCCTTTTGGTGTCATTTGATCGATTTCTTTTGAAATATTCGAAATTTTTACTTTTGACCAGGCCCATTTTTGCGAATTTGAATTCATTTTGAGTGATTCGTTTAAATGAGCAACAATCTCACCTTAGGTACAAACTTCAACTGTAAATCAAATCATGCATGCCCATCCTTCTTATCTTCATTTATTTCCTCGCGTAGAATAATTAAAAAATTTACTCAAGGTAAGTTAAATTAAAGAAATTAATCTATTCCATTATTTATTTTCATTCCTTTCTATATCGATTGCCATTCATCTGAATGCGAGTTTGAATTCAAAAGGGAAATTATAGAAAATTAGTGGTTGCCCTTTAAAATACTTCATATTTCATCAAAAGAAAAATGCATGTTGCCAATAATTGTTCATTCTTTAAAAGTCGATGAGTAAACATGCATACATTAATTCGGTCATGCACAGATACTCAGACCAAATCCTGTGGACGCCCCTGACAGCGATTAGATGTAATTTCATGATAAGATTATTGATGTATTGAAAACATAACAAATATAAATATGAAGAAATGAAGGTTTGTTTTAAAAGCTTATTTCTCATTTTGTTTTCAAGTAGTATTTAACTTTAAAAAAATATGAATTTTATGCCATTATATGTTTACTCAAAAATAAATTTATGTCAATAAATTATCGAAAAGAAAAACTGTATTTAAAGCCAGTCTAGAAATATTTTCCTTGTAATTCGACTAGAACAAAGACAGAAAACAGATACATTTTATAAGTTACAAGCAACTTTCAAAGTGAAATATTTCTCATCATGGATAGCATAATTCCAAACGAAAGTGAATCAGTTGAACAACTTCTAACACATATTGGTACTGAAAAGTTTTCTCTTTTAAGAATAAATTTAGCCCAATCTCTCCATTTCTCTCTCTCTCTCTTATTATTATTGCAATTTTAAATGTTTTAATCGTAGTCGTAAACTATTTGGCTCAATTGTACTGTATTTGCGTGATTTGGAATACATTGGACGTCAGCGAAATTGTGAGAATTAATTTCAATCGAAATTATAATACAGAAATCTATCCGCAAATGCTGTGGTTGAAATATGAAGCAATTAGTGGAAATCATACAAATATCGACAATTTGGTTCAGATGGGGATTGATAATGGTTGTCAGGTGAAAAAGCATACAGAAATCATCCAATTAGTTTGTACTAAAGTGATTAGTTACTTTTTTGATTGCCCCTTTTAAGGCGTTCATTGTGACTCCGAACTCGGTAATCGATTTCATGGATGGATTTGAAAATGTTAGATTTACATCAAAGAATCGATATCATTCGATGCACGTTGTGGCTTTGCCCACCACCATTGATAAAACAAATCAATATATTAATGATATTTTGAATTGTGGAACTGTTCAAGGTGAGACCGTTATATTATGAAATGAAGTTTAGGTCGATTGAAAGAAATAATAAATGTTTTATCTCTCCGAAGACATTCCAAATATTTTGATTATTTCGCATTCCACCGGCCAGTATAACGTTAATAATAATAAAATAAAATTTGGTGATTCTTCATATGATTTAATTACATCACAATTTGTGGGACAATACAATACTTCGGAGCCTCGTCTATTGGATACATTTGATATTGCCAGCGGGACTTTAATTGAAAATGCAAACCTTTTTCCAGATAAATTTTCAAATTTACAAGGTCGTTTGCTGCGGATTGCTTTGTTCAATTATAAACCATATACTATTTGGATGGAAGTTGTAAGGAAGACACATTGAAAGAGTGACTATAAGATTATTTTTAAAAATCAGTGAATAGATTGGGCTATAGCAGTGCTATTTTCACAGCTCCTGATAATAGGTGCTATTTGTGAACAACGCATACGGACAGCAATTTTATGATACAATTCTGAACAATAGGCCTATTGATTTGTTTATGCAAAAAAAATACTAAAATCAATAAGTCTATTGTTCTATTCACATTTTGAATATTTCGTTCGGAATTGTATCATAAAGTCGCAAATAGTGCCCATGAATAGGAGCTGTGAAAAAAGCACTGATATAGCTGTAGCTCAATCTATTCACTGTAAAAAAATCAGTTATAAATATGTATTCCTCAAATTGACAGACGCCCGGAACAGGAAATATGGATGCGCTTGATTCGGAACAAGAAAAAACTATATTTATTGATGGCACCGAATCACGTTTGATCATGGCCTTTTGCAAGTTATATAATTGCACGTTGGCTGTTTTAATCGGTACTATATATTTTTTGAAATGAGATTAGTCAAACAACTCTTAGTCAATTTCCTTATCTAAATACTAGATGAAGAAAGTGAATGGGGTGTACTATCGGATAATATGACTGGAAATGGCGTGTTGGGCGCAATTGTAGAAAGACGTGCTGACGTTGGCATCGCTGGACTTTTCCTTTGGTATTTAATTTTTCAAATGATTTTCAAATTGGGAAGAATTTGAATTATTCGTTTTTCTTTAGGTTTCATGAGTTTCTATTTCTGGACTATTCTTCAATAATTTCACGTAGTGGAGTCACTTGCATTTGCCCAAAGCCAAAGTTTGTTAAAAATGATATAGAAAATCAATTTGATTTTGGTCTGTAATGATTTCATTGTTAATAGATTACTTGGTAGATGGCTTTTACCATTGCGACCATTTACACCAACAATGTGGGCAGCAGACTTTATTTCATTCGTGAGCCTTTTTCTTACGATATTTTTGATAAAATTAACGAAGAGCTATGCAAATTCAATGTGTGAAAATGATATAATATCTGTTTGGCTACATGTATGGGCTATATATTTGGAACAATCGACAAATTTCAGGTATACATGGCATATATACATTGGAAGTATAGTATAGTATACCAAATAGTATAATGTTGGTAACGCGGCGTTCAAACGCTGCGTTTAGATGCTCCGTTTAGACGCTGCATTGTTGGCTAGATGTGTAAATGAGCGCAAATATTTGTGGCATGTGCGTCAATGTGAGGATGTATAGAGTTCAAGTCTCTTTGAGTTGACGGTGGCGCCCCCCCATTTCAAAGGGAACGTCAATGTTATTTAACAACTCAAATCGTAACTAAACAGCGTGCTTTGTTTTAAATGTGTTGATACATCCTCCCATTGATGTGCGTACGTTATATGCAGCGATTTCCGCATATTAAAGTTTAACAGTTAAACTAAACAGTATATAAATACTTCAGTAATGTGCGAGCAACATTTTCCAGAGGGTTGATTTCAAAATTTTCTTCAAAAAACCCTAGGAAATCAAGAAAAATTTCGTTTCTGACGTATATCCCTAGCAAATCACATTACTGACATACTTATAATATTATTTAGTATGTATACTATACTATATACTTCCAATTTATATTATACATATGCCAATTTTGAATCGTATCAAATATATTATGTAAAAATGTGTTCGATTTATTTTATCGACAGTACAAGACATTTGCCAGTAATTATCATTAGCATTATTTCACTATTAACATCTCTGTTGCTTGCAAATACATATGGTGCGGGTCTTTCCAGTATTATGACTATTCCTCTGTATGTTTTAAACAATTACTCTGTGCCAGTTAGACATAAAAAATAACCAATACGCATAAAAACGCTTTTAGATATGAAGCGCCAATCGATACACCACAACAATTGGCTGAAAAGAACTGGGCATGGGGAGCCACACGAGATGTATGGATTTATTCTATTTCGAATGCAACCGAGGTAAATCCACAGTTTCATTCCTAAACATAAATTATTAAGTGAAAAAAATTTCTTCGCAAATAGCCTGAATTAAAAAAATTGGTCAGTATGTTTCAAGCAAGTACTTTTGAAAAGTTGAGTGCACGACGAACAAGTGGAGATTTTTGCTATTCCGTAGAGCGACTTCAGTTTGGTAAAATACGGATATTTTTCATATGAATGTGGTTGGACATTTTCTGGATATATCCGTTGAACAGAGCGTTTAGCTAGATATGATTGTGTGCATTGCACACAGCAGATATATCCATAAAATTTCCAAGCAGTGATGAATATCATCTTTTTATTGCATTTTTCAGGACACTATGCTGTTGGTGACTATATCGATGAAAAAGCTTTGAACTATCTGCAATTGATGAACACCGACATCTATTATGAAAACATTGTTCGATTTGCATGTTTTGCATGTGATAGAAAGCGGAATCCAAAAATATTGGGAATTGCAGGTATGCATCCAAGTTAGACTCTAGATAAAATGGGAAATAAATTGGAGGAAAAATTGGTTTTAGACAGTGGCCAATCAAACAAACCGGAAGATACATTTGGGCATTTCCATATCAAGACAACGCGATAAACCTGGTTTAGTTCGTTTAAGTTTTGATCACGTCAGTGGAGCATTCATTTTATTGGGCATTGGATTACTTATCGCATCAATTTCCTTTGTTTGTGAATTATTGTTTCATAAATTAAAGAGAAATCAAACTAAAAAGTCACGCTTTCAAAATGCTTTAAAAAGTGCTTTGAAAGCATAAACGTAGCGTAACCGTAGTGTAAACGTAGCCTAATCGTAGCGCAGTAATATTTGAAACAACCATCGTGACTGAAAGATAATTTAATCAAGACACCATCCAACAATTTCGTCTTTGTAATAACTTACATTGATAACCACGTTAATAGATGGCGAATTATTGTGCGACTTTTTTCTCGCCTATATTAATTTACAGGGATTCATGGTGGTTGGTTTGAAATAATGATTACTTTTTACAATTCATTTATTTGAAAATCAATTTTTTTTTACTTTTTTCTATCTTTTTCAGTACATTTTTCAAAAAAAATAAAGTTTTATACGTCGCAAAATGATATAATAGGTAAATTATAAACAGTTCCTATCGTAAAAAAGTAAATCAAATTCTATCGGAGGAAAATAAGAAACTACTATAGCTTTTTGCGATGGATAAAATTATTTTTTTGAAAAATTTTGGGGCATTCATTTTATTAGTCATCGGATTGCTTATCGCTACGATTTCCTTTGTTTGAGAACCACTTAGTGTATTTTTCTTTATAAATTTGTGTCACGAAATAAAAAATTCTATGGAAATTGAAGAAAACAATTATGCATTTTATACATCAAAATATTTAAATCGAAATAATTTTATTTACATTTTTCAAATTGCTAGAAAATCACTTCAAATATACAAAAATCGTTAAAAAAAATGAGAAATAATCCGCTGCTACAATTGAAATGTTAGAATTTACATGTAAATAACTTAGTATACAAACAGTATTAATTTTTTTTTTAATTTTTTTCGGCAGTGAATATTACATGAACACTCGTACATATTGTAAAAATCACGATCAAAAATCGAACAAATTCGATTTTAATATTAATGATCCATTGCGTGATCGTGCAATTTTATTAAGCTACCTCGTTGATACTTTGTAATTGGCAAGTCTTTATTTGCTGTATTGAATTGATTTAAATTTGATGAAAATGATTGGCTCGAACTCAGCATACTGTTATCATCTTGAAAATGTGATGGTGTCTGTGGTTGTTGCAATGAAAATTGGCTAAATGAACGTGAAAGTATTTTAAAATTTGGTGATTTTTTGTTGTTCGGATTTGCAAATACATCTGATGATGTGGATGATGGTGGAAATGCAACCGGCTGTTGATAACTGTCTGGTTTTTGTGGTTGTGGTTTGATAAGACCGTTATTTAGTTTGGTCGTATGTGTCATTGATGTTGGCTCCGCAACAATAAATGTTCGTTCAACCTCTGAATCGTCGCATAATGAATTTTCACGTGATTCAAAGCCAGAGCTTTTCGATGATGCTCTTGACATCATCGGAAAAATTTCTTTTGCAGCAGGTCGTTGTTCGACTTTGTATTCATTCGTGGGATGCGTTGATTTTTTCTGAGGTGATGTACTATTCCAATAACCGCCAGCTAACCATGATTGATTCACTGAATGATGTGTTTCGTTCAAACTCAAACGTGATGGTGAAAGAATTGCTTTTTTATTACGTAATGTATCACCCACTAAATCCCATGAACCAGATGTTCTTGATGGCATTTGCGAATTAAAATGCTTCCCACCACTAATACTTAAGTGGGTTATTCCACTCTCAAAATCATTTGGCACATCATAGAATGAGTTGCGTGACGCTGATCTGGGATTCGGTTCAACAGCATTAAAGTAAGTTTTATTCAATGATTGTAACGACATTGCACTTGGACACTGCGATCTATTGCACAAAACTGGCGATTTTGCTGATATAAATGATCTTTGTGATGTATGTAGTCTATCGCGTGTCAAATCCATTTGACTTCCTCTGTAGAAACCACGTTCTGATCCAAACGATGTATTTATATCGGATGCGGCTGTTCTTGTAGTGGCTATTGATTGTGTTGAAAGACCATACGATCGGCGACGCAATGAATTTGTTGAGTATATTGATGGCGTTTTGGATGCAATGGTCGAATTCAAAACTCTTGTCTCATTCCACATTGAACGTTTACTTGCCGTTGATATATCTGATCGCATCGATGTATTTAACAAGCTTTCTGTCTCACTTTCATCTGAATAATCCGAATTCATGTCGGAATCAATGCGATGGAAACTCGAGTTATGGTCACTGATCGTTTCAATTTGTTTATTGGGCAATACGAAGAAATTGATGATTGATAACGATGCTGTTGACCATACCAAAAGTAGCTGAAAATCGAAATATGTTGACAAGTCAATCGATCAAAAATGAATTAAATTTTAAAAGTAAAAAAAATCATTTTATCTTCGATTCCATTAGAATGGGCTTGAAAAGTTACCTGAACAAAGTCTAAAACGAGAGTGTGTTCCAAATTGTTTGTTTCCTGAATAAGGGTCGGTAAAATCATGCCCAAACTCCACAATAAAAGTGATATGACTGGTCCCCAACATAGTCCGAACATGAATAGCAAAAATACCGAGAGAAAGCATCCCGAAACATTTGTTGTGACTGTTGAATAACCCGGATTCAAATCGGTCGCATCATTCACATTGATTTCAACCAATTCGAAAATTTCCGTGGTAATCACTTTCCAAAAATCACCGCTCACATATGTATACACATATTTTATCGACATTTGTGCGCACGTACCAATAAATGATATATATGGCAACTCAAGTATATATTGAATAAATTGTAAAACTAAAATTTTCATTGCCGAAATATACGATAAAATGGTTAGAATAAATGTCGTGGTATTATCGTTAAAAATTGAATCAAGCTTTGGTTTTGTGATATTCATTCGATTAGAGACGGTAAATGATTGCAACAACGAAATGACAACTAATGCAGCTAATGAGATGCGCGCAAATGTAAGTCGCTTCTTATACACAACAGCTTTATTGGATTTTTGATTTAGAGTCAAGTTGAATGCTTGTAATCCTTTGGCTCCGATTTGCTTCAGTTTTGATCCCAAAATATTCGTTTTCACTTTGTTGAGGGTACGTTTCAAGTGACGCTCACAACGTGGACACAAACGATATGCTTGTTCCAATTTATGCCTGTCATTTTTTTTTAAATAAAAAATCGATTAATTTCACAATGAAACGATTATAATTTTTAAAAAAGAGTTTTAATCCAAACATACCGATAATCTTCAACTTCTTCATCAAAGTAGGCTTCATTTTCTGGCTCAAATGATGCCAATTGTTGTACTTTGAGCTCTTGATTTCGATTACATGGTTCGCACAGTCCATTGTATGGCATTAATCGACCGTTTATTATTGAACCACCATTTATCGATGAAAAACTTGATGTTTTCCATTTGTTGAGTTTTGCACTTCTTTGTGCCGGAATATCACAGTTATAATCTCCATCCTAAAAAGTTGTTAGTGAACTGTTATGAGAATGTTGCAGCACGCATAATATTTTTGACAAAACTCACCTCAGCAAAGCCATTGTATTGCTCACATTTTGGACACGTAAATTTGTTTAAATCATCATACGGTACTCGGCTATCCTCATTGCAAAACCAACAATTTACAGTCACTGGAAATCGACGCCTGAAATATACATCAAAATGATCAAATCCCACATTTTTCTATGCGAATATTTACTGTGCTGTTCTAAGTAAAGATTAAAAAGAAAAAATGCCGGAAAATGCACAGTTTTAATACAAATATCCAGTGAAACAATGATATTTACCTGATTTTGAAATAAATATTTATTGAGGTTATAATAAAGAGAAATCCTATTGAAATCGCAGGTACAATGTAACTCAAATGCTCGATTGTATATTTCATAATTTTTATTTAATACACGTCCTTAGTATTTAATGTTTTCTTTTCTTTCTTTTAAAAAAATGATCTTCTTTGTGTGCAAATCAAAACTATCGTTTTTCCAGTTAATACAACACTGAACCGCGTGAGGTTTTCGATGGTTTTGACGATACACTGTCTACCATTTAGACAAACTGTGTGTATGTATTGGTTTCGCTCCAAAAACTAGTAAGAACGATACAAACTGGATTATATTTGCATTTTTTTACAAAATTTTCAACGCCATAAATTTGATGTCGATGATTTTATATTGATGATTTTCCGTTATTTTAAAACTTAATTTTTTTTCTTTATTTTTGTGCAAAAAAGAAGCAATAGCTTGCTGTAACAGACACATACACACATATATGCTAAAGCCGCTTATACCTCCCTTGGAATTCCGATGTTCAGCAATTGTGACAGTTGACACTTGGCGGGTATTTTGACATTTACATAACCAATTCCAATGTTATTTTGTGAATAATTTTTTTCATTTATATTTTGAATGGAAGAAAAAACAATCTTCTCTATGCATTTTATTTAATACAACAAACGAATAAGTTTTCTATATTTGAAGAACCAAAACCGAAATATATTCATCACAATGTGATGCTGAATTCCATGAAATGAAACCTTAATAATAAATATCTACAATTTTGCTTGTTGTTGTTCTTTGAGTTTATATAAGATTGCGTGTGCCTCATCGTAGGCAGGATTGGTAAATTGTCGCACCAATTTTAACCATTCACCAACATTTGGACGATTTGCCGTGGGATCATATCCTGTCATGGCTGTAAAATGGATAATTGAATGAGTGTGTTGTCATCACAGGACTGATCGATTAATCAGATTCAATAAATAAAGTCAATGTCTTACTTGGTTGTTCGATTTCACAAGCGGCCAATATATCGGCAAATGAAATTTGATTAGTGCCAGATATAAAGGAACCTGGTCGAAGCCATAGATTTTCAATCATATCCAATGTTTTTTCCATTTGAGCTTCGGCCGAAGCGACAATTTGGGCGTCGCCGGGACTTGGACCAATGGTACGCGGTTTCATGTATTTTAACATCCAATATTGAGCACACGTTTGTCTTGTGTGATAATGTTGCCATTCTAAGTATTCATCTATTCGCGCACGGACGTGGTTGTTTTTTGGATACCATTGATCATCAACCTCATATTGACTGGTCAAATAGCGAAAAATAGCAATACTTTCTGATAACTGGAAACTATTATCTACAATTGCTGGCACTTTCTTGAATCGATTCACAGTGTCGCGATATTCATCCGTTAAATGTACACCTAAGATAGAAATGTGCAATTTTGAGAAAATTAACTCTAGATATTCTACCATAATTGTTAACCTTTCCGCAATGCGATGGGATGCTCATCGACGGGAATTTTTGTCTGCTTTAGAAATATGTACAACGCTCTTGATGGCTGCGATAGTAAATCGTAATAGAATTTTATCGGTGCACTCATTTTTATTTGTGAAGTAAACTTTTCATATGAGGTTTATTCACAAGTAACTCTGTCAGGTTAATGTTCTTTTCAGACACTAAAACATTGATATGGTATTATCTGTCAAATGTATTTCAATACAACATAACCTTAGTAGTAGCTCTTGACACTATATTTGATTTTCGCGCGTACATTTACGCTTTGTATTATCCTAGGTATTATCATTTTTAATTGGCTCTTTTTCAATTTATATTCGAAAAAACTTCTTTGTCTTCACAGAAGACGATTATCACCACCAAAACAAATCATCAAAATTAATGTTTTTCCAAAGAAAAATTCATAGATTGAGAATGTTTAAATTTTAACGACCAATTATACTTACTTATATGCGTTATAACTTCTTAGTTGTTCCTTTCATTTTTCTGTCTTTTTCGTCGAAAAGAATAAAATGTTGGTTTTCTGGATATTTACTGAACTTATTTTGTTTATGAAAAATCGAATTATTAAATAACAAATAAATAAATAAGATTTCAACAAATCACTTCAAGTGTAGTTACTAGACAAATGTGATAACCTGGAGTAACACCTCTGTCGTGCAGTTACCATTTTTTATTTTTATCAACACAAGCTCAAATTTAATCTCACAAAACATCAAACATCTCACACATACAAATCACTGTTTGGCCGAAAATATGAACGTTTGCTAGTCAAGTTATTGCTGCGTCAAAAGTAAAAAAAAAATGATTGTTTCAACCACCGATTCGAATCTAACCACCGAAACCGTCTTTGGTTCTATGACACATACAAACGCAACTGTATCAATGTGAGAACACATTCACATCGCCGTTTGACCCATTTAATTCAACCACTACTAAAAACACAAAAACCGAAAAAGTTTTTTGAGTAAATATCACAAGCTAGTCCATATACTTTTTGTATTTTATTATTGAATTATATTTTATTAATGGTTTTTTGAATACGCTTAAATAAAATATTTTTGGCATCTTTTTTAAAAAATATCGTTTATTCGTTTAGAACAATCAGTATAAAAAAAGACAACTATTTACTTTAAATTTGGTTGCAATTAAAATTATCCGCTTCTTATATTAAAAAACATTTCTTCCTTTCAAGTTGAAAGTTTCAATAATAGATGATTTCTCTGTTAAAATATCGAGGCCATTAAAATTAACAATTCATATACAATTGCCGTTTTTTATATAATTTTGCTCGAAAATCATTCGATTTTCGTGTCATCCTTGTAAAATTGTTTTTTTTTTCTTTAAAACTTAACATAAAATTGGAATGCTATATTAAACGTTTCCGACAATTATCTGACCCACAATGGCATTCAGTCTTTTGAGAATCGAATAGGGGATAGGCGTAGTCAAATGTCAGTTCTTCGTCGGCTTTAACGATTCGGCTTGTGAAAAATGCAATCATTGGAAATCGTTTATCATCATCGACGAAAACCTGTTGTGAGAACAAATTTGGGGAGCAGGAATGCTGAAATAGAATAGAATTAATTAATTTTTATCAATACGAAATAAAATCTCGAAAAAGAACTTACATTAAGAAATCGTGCGATATTTCCATGTGAGATAGCATCAATAACGAATCGTTTTATTTTCTTTACGATGAATTCGGACTCGGGAAAAGATTCGGCATTTTTTTCAATTGGTGGAAAGTAATTTAAAAATGACAGTTGAACGCCATCCCCTTTCATTCGTGGTATTTTGTTAGGTAATTGCTTATTTGGTTCAAAAGTACTATCAGAGCTTGCGCTCTCTTCATCACTACTACTAACATTGACTTTGCTTTGTGGCAAACGAAATTGATATCTAAAATCTTTCTTATCGGCTGTCTCTTCATCGAGCACATCTCCGGCATAATGGCACACGAAAATTCCTGATGTTAATAATTTACAATTAGTATTTAACAAAGAAATTAAAAAAATGGATTAAAAGATTTAATCCGAATTAATTGCGAACACACCTTCTGGTAAGTCACTTTTTGTTTTAACGCCCCAGCCTTTATGCTTCGTCATGAATACTTCCAGTTTGTGTTGCATACCACGTTGAGCAATGCGATTTAGACATTTTTGGCTGCAACATTTACAACTTGAGCTACATTCCACAATGCCCGTTTTGACGTCTTTTAAAAGTCTCATGTTCTTATATCCAACATCCACATATCGTTTATATTCGGCTTTCTGAAGATCTTTTTGCTTCAAACATTGAATGGTCAGTTGCCAACACGAACACTTGCTGAAAAATGGTTTAAAAAAATCATGTTAGTTTATGGTAACTGTGCCAAAATCGAGATGGTTCACTTTGCTCTTTATTTAACTGAAAAGTACATCACCTTTTATCACGACAGAAATCTTCACAGTCACATCCATTACGTTGCAAATTATTTTCTGGTATCTCAGGGATGTATTCATAGTTATATCCGGTGATGTACTTAAAATCCATATACATTTGGCCACCACGCACTACAACTGGAATTGGTTCGAGGCCCTTTGAAAGATCCTGAAACAAAATCAGAAATTATTACCAAATGAATTACACCAAATAGCTGCATTGTATACATTGTCTTTTAAGGTTTCCATTTGAATATTTGGCAGTTCGATATTTGCGTTCAGCTCAAAACAGTCGATGTTTAATTTGGAATTGGTTCGCACTAAATACCTGTGAATAGCATGATAGTTTCGTAGAATGATCCCACAAGGAGTTTTATACAAACTTTTCTCACGCATCCATCCTGTCATAATGGGCCGTTGAAATGCACTATACATTTTAATATCGATGCCATTTACATCGGTTTGTTCATTAATGCGAAGGCACTGTGGTCCACATTCATGTGTGACGGGCTGAACGCCAGTTGCATCAAAACTCAATGATGAACGATATTTCTTTTTTGCACCTCTTGACTTCTTTGGTTCCGCTACTGGGTTGATTAGTTCGAAGTTAAGAATGTCATTCGTTGCACGAAGGCATGTTTTGTACGTCTTATAGTTTATGAGCTTATCAAATGCCTTTGACTTGATGAGATTACGATACACTTGTGACAGACGCGGGCTACCTAAGTAAATCCATTCGAATCGTTTCGGTGCATCGAACGCAATCAACGTTAGAGCCAATTTAACTTCCTTTACCGTAACCTTTTTCCACGCACCATCTAGTTCGACTAGTACTCTATTTCCACTTTCTGGCGCCAATTCTACCACATCCTCCTGCTCCAATATGAATTCGAAATAGGCTTTTGCATTCCAATGAGCTGTTGAATGAAATTACATAAAACGTAGTTCAAGTCAGGTTTATTTGAATGTAGCCGATTGAACTGATAATGATATTGTCAATTTATGCAATAAATCAAGAAACATACCATGTTTGTATCCATAATCGCCAAGTACTCGCCTAATGTGAACTACTGAAACATACTGCACAATACCATCGTCGAAAAATACCAAATATCTTCCATGTAAATCATGGTGTCCGCTCACAATTCCCGGATAAAAAGCCAAACATTCATTCTTGTACAATTGCTTTTTTTCACCAGAATTGTCAAGTATGTATGGCATTTCGTCCTTGTCCCGTCGTGCAATCACGCGAGTGCCTCTTATCAATTCCATATACATTGGTTCCTTATAACTGGCTAATTCAAATTCCGCAACACGCTTTTGATGTTCATCATCACAGAATTTTACATGATACATACGATTGCCGTCGACAACACCAAATTCCTTTACCAAAGAACACTCTTGCCATGCGTCTATAATATGATCTTGTGTCGTTCTATTTGCCCAGTATACATTTTTTTTAGTGGCTGGTGATTCTGTACAACCATAACAAATCTTATTTAATTTAAAAAAAAAATTATTGTTGATCAGTGTTTTAATGCTTACTATCTTCTTGCACGAATTGAACATCATCTTCATCATCGCTACTAATTGGAATTGGCTCTTCCATCTCGTTCTGTGTGCATTTGTGTTCTTAGTACTTTCTGCAATATTTCTTTTGGTGAAAAAAAACTTTCTTACAGAAACACCAATTTCCACCTTCGTAGCGATTAAATAGCACAAGATTTAGAAAAAAACTGTACTCTATTTCATTAAACACACTTATAATGCCGCTGACATTGCAGCTGTCACATACCAACCAAACTGACATTTCATAGCTTTGTAATGTTGTTGTTGCTGTTATATACAGATTTTAAAAAAATTGACAGAAAAAGACGGTAATCAAACTAGATCAAAATCTTTCACTTTAATATGATCTCTTTTCTTTATTTATTTCATGAATTTCTTAATCAGCTGTATTTATATGAAAATACTCAATAACGTATATGTTGTAGATAAATGGTTTTTTTTTACAAAAAAAAATTCTAAATATTTTACACAATATTCAGTTTTTCTGCGTTAAATTTGACTCAAGTCAATACTTTTCTGCGTAATAAATGCAAAATTATGCGATATATTGCGATACAATTGCAATTTAAATAAGTAATTTTCGGAACGTAATAAATGTACATTAAATCGACTTTTCGCCGTTTAAATTGCGATTATTTTCGTCAACTTTGATCATGGATAGCTCCGTTAGTAGTTCGACAAAAGTAAGCGAATTTGTATTTTTCGCGATTTGATTCAGTACAAAGAAATTGCCCAAATGTCCATGATCGGTGGCTTTTGCTATCTGTTTGCGTGACATTGTGAGCATTGAATGGCGACGCAGAACTTCAATTCGAAGACTTTTGCTGTAGTATATAACGGTCCAGTACAACAAATTTCCCAATGATACGGCCAATTGTAAAATATACCAAATCCAAATGATGACAAAAATTTTCTGGTTCACAACATTCAATGGCATCAAACAAAGAGCATCGTACTCTTGAAGCGATCCCGATGGACCTGATGCTTTGAACATACACTTGGTGATTCTTGGAAATGCTAAATCACTATTCACTCGCCATTGTAGCGTGTCTCCGGTGATTAGTCCGGTTGTTGCTCGCCAATATGTTGCCCAATATCCGGGAATGACCATATTTAGCATAATCATATTTATCAACTGTGTGTTGGATGGAAAAATTGATACATTAAACATGAGAAAGCCGCTTTATTGGCAAAAAATATACACTTTAATCGACTCACAATACAAACTATGCTGAGCACCTTTACACCGATGTACTGATTTGTGTATATCGCATGTGCTCTGCCGGCCAATTTTTCGTTAAAATATGCGATTACATTATTCTTCTTTTCATTCCAATTCTTTCGATCGAACGAGACATCTGTAAGTTCAAGAGAATAACATCAAATATTCTTCCAATGCGCATTCTATGTTTGAAAAAAAAAAAAAAATCACTACTTGCCTAAATTTTCGCATAATTTACGAAGCAAACCACATTCAGCTACTTTCCAAATATACGCCGGGATATAAGATAAAACTGCTTGAACGATGAACACCAAAGAGATCCACTGATAGTAGCGCTGATGTAATTTATTGTCGTCGATGAAGCTACGGCAACCGAAAATATTGTTTGCTAAATAAATTGAGATAAAAAGCAAAAAATTTACAATAAAGTGTAAACACATGGCACACTATGATTCTCACATTTTCAGATAACGGCAACATAGTAACACGTGGTTTTTGTTCGTTGAATGCCGACCAAAAAAAAACTCTGACCCTTACCTGTATAGTTGGAATCGTTGCATGTGTATGTTCCGATCGACCAGCAAAAATTGTCCATCATTTTCTTACGCGCCTCGGGGCCATCGGTATAACAATCAATGGGGACACGCATTAAATCAAGAGCGGTCAGTAAAATGGAGAACAAAATCAATAGCGCAGTAGTAAATTTAGTATTGATCAAAAAAATTGTGTCGGATGTCGTAAAGTGTTTTACACTGAACAATTTGCCAAGTGGCTCCACGAGTTTATACATTTTTCGTTTGTTTCAGTCTTACTTTCTATTTAAAATAAAAAGTTCCCACGTGGATAACACTTTCGAATGGTGAAACTATAAATTTTACCTCTTGATTGATGAAGCAATGACACAAGACTGATTTGAAATCGCACATTATACATGCATACCGTTAAGACTGGTGTCGCATGCACTTCAATTGTTTTAGTTGTTGTTGTTGTTTGAACAATGAATTGTCAAATGCTCTTGTGGCTCTCAGCGAAACGCACTCAAACACAACAAATGTCACACGATGCGATTTAAAAATACGATCTCATTTAATTTGAGTATACGATATATTTTATTGATTTTTAATTCAATTTATTAATGCTGATAACAATATTGAGAATTTTATATATACCATGAACTTATACTAAACTGATATGAAATATCTTCGACATTCACACGTGTGACCATTGGCCAAATGGAAATCTATCTTCTATGGATTTTGTACGCTAAAGCACATAATATGTAATTTCATATCTTCTTTAACTTTGGCTAAAACACGCAGTACATGTCGTTCGCCATCTTCCGATAATTGTGGAATTGCCTCAAGCGCTTCGGCAAAGAATGCTTTGGCCTTTGAATTACTGTACAACTGCAACGTATCACGTAGAAATCGAATGTCGATGTTGGCTTGTAGTGCACCGTTCGCGCTGAATCGTTGAACACACGTTAAGAGTCGATTTAATTCTTCTGCTACTGTTTGAACAATTGCCTCCAATATCGAACGTAATAGCAATGGCGAAACTGCAAATACTTCCGAAAAAACGCCAACCTTTGTGAATGAGAAAAAAAAAAAAACACATAAGATTTTTGTTGAAATTACAAATAAATAAAAAATGTTGACGTTTGACTTACAAGATTATCGCAACACTCATGCGCATATGGTCGTAATCCTTCGGCGCTGCTAACCAAATCCCATTGAAATTGATTTGCAATATACATTGCTGGTTCAATTGATGCAACCAAATATTCACTCTTCTCGTTCACAAAACTCTCGATGATATTTTCGAATAGATCATTTGCCCTCACTCGACCATTATCAAATACTATTTTCGAAATGGGATATCCATTCTTTGTGAAAACCGTGTAAATATGCGCAAAAAATTGCCTATAACAATACAAACAATTGGACAAACAGCAAAGTATTTTCTGATCCCATGACATAGTTTTGCGCCAACTTTTATCGTCCGCATTCGATTGTGATGCATTCGATAAATTATTTGTTCCCGCCAATCCGACAGCCAATTGACACACCAACGGTGTTTGTTGTGTGATATCACATTGAGCCAATGTTTCAATAACATCGCAAAATGTGTTTAAAAATTCTGCCGTGTGGGCTGATATCTGTTGTAATCCTTCTGATTGTGGCTCCAAGAGCGATGTTTCACGAATTTCTGCTTTTAAACAAGCATTCAAACCTTCGTCCAAATGCTCGACAATGATTTCTTCAAATAAATTTGGTAAATTTGTAGCACCAGGAAAATCGGGTACTGCACCCATGTTCCATGTTTCTTCTTCCTCCAATCGTCTTATTTTATCGATTGCTTTCTTGAAAATCGTTGACAAACAGAACAAACGAATTTGATTGATTAACTTTTGTATAATGTCCAATACTTCGCTTGGCAAATCGACACGAATCAATGTTGCATAAGCAATACGCACGTAACGCAAACACTGTGATATCCATGGAATAAATTGAAGAATCGCTGAATTACTTGTTGCTGGCCATACTGGTATATTTGCCTTTAGATGGTTATTTCGTTGACCCGATACAGAAAGTATTGCACTTCGAATATATGAACAAAATGTTTCAATCGAATTTATGATGATGCGCTTGAAAACGCCCGGTTTTGGATCACTCAAGCCTTTCAGTTCACCTGTGAAATATGCTTGGCCCAAACGCCATAGATCTGGCAATTGACTGGCAGCTATTTCACATACTTCTTCACAGAACAAAACACGTGGCGGTGCATCGTTTGCATCGCGTTGCTTTGCCGATAATTGATTGTTCTCTCGAGCCGCGTGTTGGTCAAATATTGTCCGTAGTGTTTCGTCTAAATAATTTGAGCGCGCCTCAATTGCATCCCATGCTGCATCGGTCTCGGGAAGCTCCTGTGCAATGGCCAAACCATTTTGGAATAATTCCAAACTTGTTAAAGCTTTCACAAGTTTTTTCTGATGATCCACCGACTGCGGCATTTGACAAATCTGCTGGTGTAATTCCTTTCGAATTCCAATGATTCGTTTATCAACTTCCTCAAGAACTTTACGGAAGATCTGAAAATGGGAAATTACATGTAAATCACTTTGGAAAAACCAAATTTTCATCAAATAATTACCGGCACATCGGTTTTTCCAAAAAGATTCTTAGCCCTGGCGTAGTCATTGATAACAATATCATACTCCTTGCGTTTAGCACTCTGTTCCACCGATTTTGGCAAACAAAACAGAAATCTGAAAATGACAGCAGAATATTTATATTCCATTTTACAAGTAGTCTTATTAAAAACCACTGAATAAATAAAATGGAATGAACTCTGGACTCACTTGTGCCTGGATAAAGCAAAGAGTGCTGCTCTCATTGTGTCGGCCCTATCGCGTCGAGACAAAACATCTGTAAACAAACTATTCGATTCAATTATTGATTCTTTTATGGCCTTTTCTAATTTGAAAATTGGTTCAGTCGTTTCGGCCATATCTTCTTCATATTTATCTCGCAAAGTCATCAGCGTAGCCAATTGATCCATAACGGCACCAGCATTTGCTTTGAGAAAAGACAATTGACCATCTCGTTGACTTTCCACCTTACGACGAAGATACGATAATCCGGCTTTTAAATCATCAAATGACGTTGCATTATGATGTTCGAGTAAAAACCATCCCGGCGAGAAGTTCTCTTGAGCTAAATCGCCGGAACTCTCTGGAAAAATATCGCGCAAGTCTTCGGTTAATTTTTTCACATTGCCTTCGATAGAAAGACCCAAAGGATCTTCTTGTGTGTATTTCGTTGGTGCTAACGATCGTCGGCCCCATGACAATGATCCCATCGGCGACTCTTCAATCCAAACAGCCGACTCTTTTAATGGTCCAATTGATTCGTGATACGCACGAAACTGCACCGTTGATGATCCGACGCCACCAGATCTTGTTGTTACGATGATGTCACCTTTGCCTTTACTCGGTCCGGTTCGAGCAATTATCTTGGTTGGCGATTTCCATTCAGCAGATAATAAACAATCCGAATCGCATATTATAAGGCCTGTTGAAATGTATAAAACAATTTAAAAAATATGTTTTATTATTAAAACAGAAGAAATATGACCAAAAACAAAACAAAAGAACATAAAAACCTACCGATAAGATCACGAGCATCTTTGCCAAGAAATTCTCCTCTAATCGTTATTTTCGTGCCCGGTGCGCCCTCCTTGGGCGACAGTCCGGTTACTACCGGCTTTGGACCCATTTATAGCGATAATTTTATGCACACACTTTTGAACTCAAATGAGCAGAAAATTCACACAAAAATATAAAGATTGGACAAAACAAAAGTCATCAAATGAAAACTAAAGTGGGTGGCTATGATGAGCTGTCAAATAGTTTGTCTTTATCATTAAACTGTCAAACAAGTGTAGACCGTATATGTTTTGCAGTGTATTTAAACGAGATGTCAATGTCTACACATGAAGCATTCGATGCAAAATAATTTAATTTATAAATTCAAATCCAACGAGAATGACTTGTTGTTAACTGTTTTATTTTACTCTTGTTCCGCTTTGTTTTCGGTCACCAATTCCATTTGAAGCTCAATTAGTTCACGTAATTCTTCGGTGTATGTAAGCGGAGCAGTTTTCGTTGTTCGATATTTAACTCTTCGTCGTTTCAAATCTCTTCGCAATTTATTCAAATCCGTGAAATTGTTGGCACTAGAACGTTTTGCATCAATTTTATATGCAATGTCAACAACAGCTTCAAGATCAATTGGTTTACTCGCTTGTTTTGCCACACTCGGTCCACTTTCAATTGCACTCGATTCGGTTGAATCACTCTTATTTCGATTATTTTTTTCTAAATATTTTTTAGGTAGTTTTTCCTTTGTCCAACCGAATTCACGAAGTAAATCATTCACATGATTTTCGTACTTTTTCACAGTTTTTCGAATATCATCCAATTCTTTTATTCTCTGTTCAACAGTAGACATCCTTGCTCGCAAATGAATTTTTATAAACAATGTTCACACTCTACACACGGTTTGACAGTTCGAGAGAATCGAGATTTTGTGATGTGACACTAATTTTGCTTGCATTGGAGTGTCAAAATCGTGTATACAGAAATTAGGTGATGATGAAAAATGGATGACGTTGCGTCCGCACATAGCGAAAATTTAAATTTACGCAAAATTCAACAAAAACTTTTGCAATGGGAAAAAAAAGAGTGCTCTCTATCGCAACTAACAGACTATCAAATCGATGCAATCGAACAATTGAATGAGCCACAACAGCAAACAACCAACGATTCAGGTCCGGAACTGGTGAGTTAAGCGACGATTAAATGTCAACAATTGATTGAATTTTATTATTGTATTTTTTTGTGTTTCTTTCATGTAATTTTAGAATTCGGCGGATGATTTAAATTCAAACGAATATGTTTCAACAAACGACAATAAATTCAACATTCCAACACATGTAATCGATTCAACGCAGGATTTTTTCAGCTTGTATCTCAATAATACAGTGGTTCCGATGATGTTTATCGACAATATAAAATCAATTTTACGTTGAAAAACCTCGATGGACTCAAAACTGAATACAATTTTGTGTCGAATAAAACATGGTCACTGAATTCAGGAAGTGAAAAAAAGAATATCCCAAGCTTGTACGTTTAGAATTGATCCCCCGTATTTCTTCGGCATTTAAGGAGCTATATGAGTTTTTCGTACGTAATCCAAATGTGCAGAGATTCTCAACAAATTTAATTTGTGTGTGGGACAACGGTGATATATTTTTAAATTCCAACGTAAAATTTGATGTATTTTAACTCAACGTATTGGTCAAATAGGAAGCGGACATCGAAAACACCTTTGGAATTATTAAATGGACTGCATAAACAAGGCTTCTATAAGCGTCTATACATTTACATCGATAAAGTTGTTGAATAGTTAGGCACTTCATTACTTTCACTCAAAGGTCTCGAATTATTGTGCATTTGGTTGTTTTTTGAGAATTATAATTTGTGGTTACCTCAATTGACCAATCTGAGAGAATTAATCATCATGAATGCAATTTATGCCAAGGATATGGAGATTTTTGTAAATGGCCTGACAAAACTCGAACATCTTTACATTGTTCAGGCTAGCATCGATCACATTATGCCATTCATTCGTCGATCGTCGAAATTGAACAAAATCAAATTCATACCACGAATCAGAGGTGTAGTTTTGAATTTGGAAAGGTTGAATAAGGAACGGGCCAAATTGGCTGGAGCACGAAAAATAATAATTTATGCGCTCGAAGATGTCCTCTTGGCTACAAAATGGATGACCAGAAACGGCGAAACAAATTTGAGCTTGATTGAAATGAGACGCGAGTATTCGATTGAATGGAATCCTCAATATTTTCCTACATAGAATTTTATTTAAGAAATCCAAAAGTCCAGATACATTGATTCCATATAGAATATAAGAACATTCTAGTCTAAGTAAATTTTGTGGATAAAAAGAATTAATTTGAATTGTCTGAATAAAATGTATCATTTTAAATTTGAACATTTGAACTGTCGTCTTTTGAAATTATTTGATTATTGTAAAATAATAGAGATTCATGGGAAAAATCAGTACTAAAATACTAAATATACTCAAAAGTATTTAAACGTATCAAAAACATATTCTGAATTTTGAATGGTAAATTAAGGAAAATGTCTTATCAAAATCAAAAAAAAATTCGGTTTAAAATTTCATAAAAATTAAGCTGTGTTCACACTGCGACAAGGATATTGAAGGAATTTCAAACCGGTTTGACATTTTGAGCAAATCGCTGTGTAGCATATATGTACTGCTGTATTGACAGCTAATGCGTGATTTGTTGGTTTTTGCTCGTGTGCGTGTGCGTGAAAATGCTCGTCTTCCTTACTTGACATTTCTCTTTTATTTGTTTGTAAATCATCATTTATTTGTACCTCAAGACGAAAGGTAAGTAAGATTTTTGTATTTTTTCTCGATTTCTATTCAATTTTTTAAATGAAAAACCATCTAAAACCTCATCAATTGCGCTTCATTTCTAATAAAACCTTATTATTTCTACTCTAGATAACTAAAAGCAATGACGAAATGAATAAATAAGAAACCACATTTATTAGTGTCTAGATAAAAAAAACAATCGTCTGTATTCATGAAAAGCAATAAAAATCGACTTCGTCAAGATGGAAATACCAATTCAAGTAGCTGTACGCATTTTTCCAGTCTATCCCAATGAATTGTGTCGAGTGGAAACATTTCCGAAATATATCGATGATAATTTAAAACAATGTGGTGATATTTTGTCAAATGGTTGCCAGCCAGGTATCGATGAGGGTGGGGTTGGTTTGGTGCAAGTAACAAGATCTCGTCTAATTGAAGACAATAATGGCAATGCATTGGATAATGAAAAATCATCTTTTAAAATACGACATGCTCTGCCCTATGGATGCCCACAAGAATTTATTTATCGCAATACCGTACAACCGATGATCCGAAATTTTCTCGAAGGTTATGATGTGTCGATTGTAACATACGGACAAAGCGTCACAGGTAAAACGTATTGCATGTATGGACCTGGTTTTGATGGCGTCTACAATGAAATGGAATATGGCATTGTGCCTCGTGCAATTTGCGACATTTTTTCACAGCTATCAAAACGACCGAGTGGATGCCGTTTTTCAGTGAATATTGCATGGATTGAAGTAAATGGCAATGAAATACACGATATTTTGGGTGGCCGAATTATTCAATGCAATAATCTGAATGACGCATTTCATTTGTTACGAATTGGTTTTTCAAATCGAAATACAGACGGAACGCACAGTATTTTTACCATAACAATCGAACAGCAATGGGTCAGTCCAGATGGTTTACTTCAGCATCGTCTATCGACGGCCAGCTTTTGCGATTTATCGGGAACTCAACGAATTGTAAATGAATTTAACGAGGAAATTAGTGTGCCAAAAGATCCGGGACTGCGGATGTTGGAGAGAATTGTGATTTCATTGTGTGATTCGACGATGCTGGAAAATGAACGAAATTTGTTGATGAATCATTACGAAGAGACAATGCTAACTAGATTATTGAAAGATTCATTTGGTGGCCGAGCACAAACCCTATTAATTTGCTGTGTATCCCCGTTGGAAGAACACACGTTTGAAACCATCGAGAATTTACATTTTGCTTACAAAACACAGTTTGTCAGGAATGCCGTGATATTGAATACATTTTCCGATAATAATATGCCAATATCGAATTTCCTTGATCCAACTGCCATGATTGATCCACGTTTGATCAAATTTCCACCATACAATCCAGCCGATGCTATGAACAAAGTGAATCCAACCACACAAAATGCATCGGGCACGGAATTTACAGCCAATTGGACTAAACTCATTGCAAATGCTGAAGGTTTATTTAATAAATTGCTGATAAACAATAAATTACTTAACGACAATGATCGCGAATGTATCGAAGAATGGATGTACTTAAAACAAGAATGTGAATCATTCAGTTCGGCCGGATTAATATCGAATGGTGGCCGCCTATTGAAACCAATCCAAGAAACCGATGAGAATAGTGAAAATGATGAACGCAGCAATGGTGAAATTTTGGAACAAGAAAAAACCGATCATTCCGGTCAAAATGCCACATTTTCAGACAATGAAAGCGATGCTGACGAGAATTTGGAGCATGTTGAGGCGAAAATTCCCGATCTAATGATTAATTTTTCACGCCATGTGAATAAAATGATTGAAGATTATTATAAAAACTATGTAGATACATATCCGAAAGCTGTGCTAAACAGTTACGACGACAAGCCAAAAGAATTGGCTATTGTGGCCGCCGGTGTTGCAACGAATCGACGTCGATCGGTTCAAGCTGGTGATAGCAATAGTGGATTGAGTAGTTCCGAACTGGATCATTTAAATCGGATTGCTGAAGAGACAACAAAAGAACGCTTAGAAGAGAGTATTCGAAACAGTCAACAAATGTGTTTAAATACGACGGTTGGTCGTGAGGCAACCGCATTTTTGGAAAATTCCGATCATTTGCATCCGTTGAGAATGGCCAGTCGTCATCAATCAGAAGTGTTGTTTTTGAACCATATCCGTCGCTTTCGAACCGATATCGAAGCGAAAGAATCGAAAATTACCGAACTAAAGCAAAATATTAAAATAAAAAAAGAGCTTATGAAAATAAATAGTGGCAGAGATAAAGCAAAACGAGGACTTAATCGTAAGGTTGCATCATTGGAAACGAAAAAGGAACGATGCATAAAAGCAATGGAACGCTGTGAGAAAAAGGAAATTGACAAATGGAAAATGGAATTATCCAAAATTGAAACACAACTAACGGAAATATCTCGTTTGAGAGCGATTAGTCAACACAGTGACAACACAATCAAGGGCTTTCAACAAGATATTGAAATAAGTGATAAACAATTGAAAATGTTGGAGAAAGCATTGGAAGCAGATAAGAAGTCGCTGCGTGAAGCTGAAACAAAATGGAAAAGCGAAAAGGCAAAGAATGCCAAAACTGCAAAAGAAGAGAAACGTATGAGTGTTGACACCCGTATCACGCAATTCGATAGTGTGCTGAAAGAAAAGAGCGAATATTTGCAGAAAAATAACGACGAAAGTGAAATGGTGCAATCAATTCGGCATGAAATTCGAAATTTACGAAGTCAACGTGATCGTTTAACTGATGCACAGTGTCTGCTAAATCAAAAATTGAAAAAGGAACGACTAACCGAATGGGAAACTCGAAAAATACTCGAATATGATGTTGCCAAGGAGGTGATCGATCACGCAATGGAAATGAAGAATCAATTGATATGCGGCCGTGATATGTTGAATCGGAAAAGTGTCGGAAATCCAGATCTCATGAGTCAATTAAATAAGTTAAATGAAAAAGAGATGCGTGTACTGCTGTACAAATGTTTTCAAAAAATTGTCGATTTACGCGACAGCAGTCGTCAGTTGGAGATTCAATTGTTGCAATTAGAACAGGAACGAAATGAATGGAAACTACGTGAACGTGTATTGTGCGATGAATTCCAGCAGTCCCGTTTGGTAGGAGAACGTAATACGCTCGATTTACAAAGACACTATGAAAGAACGCTAACAATGCTATTGCAGAGAGCTGGCGAAGACTGTGCAGAATCGCCAAATATACCAAGTGATTCATTTATGCTGCCATCACCATATTCACCGTTTACACATTCCAATAATCGTCATCATGCCATTCGAAATGAAATCGGCTTTGGCATTCATGATTATAAAAGTGCAAATCAACATCAACAACATGCATATCGTTTTGCAAATACAGCTGTAGCCACAACATCCAAACGAGAAATTGCCGAAAGAGAAATTGCTGACGCGCTCAATAATCCAAAGCAAAAGGCTACCGGCTCACTATTCTTTAGACGCTTCGCTTCAAGCAATGGATTTAAACGTAATATACCACAACTATTGATGGCCAATGGTACACCACAAAATACAACGACCGAAAGCAAAGTCAGTCTGGTTAAAAGAAAAAATTCATCTAGGAAAATTATCATCCAACAAAATAAACCTTAATTTCATTTGAGTACATATATATACATATGTATAGATGTGTTAGATGCAGCAATTCTATTTGCATTTATCGGATATTTTTAACAAACAAATTTATTTCTTCTTTTTATTTTCTATTTACAACATTAGTATGTAGTCAACACAGAATCTCCTTTTAATCTTTGAAATCTTTACTTCTCGTTCTAATTTTATTATTATTATTATTATAATATATACATGGAAAATTAATAAAAAAATTGGCTTTTTTTTCTTAAACTCAATCATTTTTTTCAGTACTTACGAACTCAGAGAGAGAAAGATAGAGAAATGTAAATGTAAATAAAGGTAAAAAGGATGAATTCTTTATATATTTTTCTAATAATTTATTGACTTACTTCAACGTTAACAATTCTTCTCTTTATTTGTTATTTTTTCGTTTTTTATTTCAAACAGCATGTTTTGTATGGGATTCGTTTGCAATTTTAATCAATAACTGTAATATTAAATCAATGGGATTTTTATTCCTTTTGCTATCGATAAATTTTGCTTTTTTTTCCATTGCAAATATTTCCACACCGAATTGGATATATCGTTCGCGATTATTTCACATATTAAGATAATTTTGTTTTGTTCATTGTGTTATCTTCTTATTCTTAATGCGTAGTTTCAAAACAGTAATGCTATTATTTTGTGTCATTTGTGACTTCTAGTAATAAATGCTTTTTTCATTTGTCAAGAGATTTTACTTAAATTGGCTGACAAAGCCATACAACGACCATAAAAAATATAAAATGATTTGTATTTTATTTGAAATATGAAAAGTTTTTGTTTTATTCTGAGAATCAAAGATATTAGGAATAAATTCAGAAGAGACGATCAACTGCTCCACTGAAATACATAATATGAATAGTTATGAATATGCTGTATATTATATGGATATTGATGCGGTTTAGACAGCAATCGGTTCAACGAATTCGCAGCATTTGACTGGATCGAACAGGAATACATTCAAATGTGGTGGTTCTTTTTGTGAAAGTGCCTTGATCACTTCTTGTGACAGTTAGCCGCCAACGATAGCTGCCACCAGTGAGACTTGTGCGAAAACATGGACGAATGCTGAGACTGGAAACAAGCCTTTGGCGATTTCATCGCGAATGGCGAACAATTTTTGCAAGTCATCATTTCGAGTTGCTGGACTTGGATCACGTTTTTCAGTATCACGGAATCGTTGCAAAATCTTCGTGGTGACGTATGCGTGTGAAAAATGGTGCATTGAAATCAAAATCGAACACATCTTGTAGTCACACCACTACAATTCCAATGTTCGTTTGATGTTCGATTTGACGGTTTGACGTTTTGGCTTTTCATTTTCTTCTGACAAAACCTTGTATTTCGTGATTTCTCTGCAGAAACAAGCAATTTGATTAGTAAAAGGTGCAAAATATTTCCATTACAAAAATGTATACTTACTCAGCAAATTCATGCTCTTGTAAATCGGTGAAAGAGTATCCATTCATGCCGCAAACGTCACCGCAGAAAAATTTGATGCCTTGCAAATGGCAAATGTTGTCTTGCAAACACGAACCAAACTTTTCCCCATGAATCTTTGCAGTGTATTTAAACGAGATGTCAATGTCTATACATGAAGCATTCGATGCAAAATAATTAAATTTATAAATTCAAATCCAACTGTTTTATTTTACTCTTGTTCCTCTTTGTTTTCGGTCACCAATTCCATTTGAAGCTCAATTAGTTCACGTAATTCTTCGGTGTATGTAAGTGGAGCAGTTTTTGTTGTTCGATATTTAAGTCGTCGTCGTTTCAAATCTCTTCGCAATTTATTCAAATCCGTGAAATTGTTGGCACTAGAACGTTTTGCATCAATTTTATATGCAATGTCAACAACAGCTTCAAGATCAATTGGTTTACTCGCTTGTTTTGCCACACTCGGTCCACTTTCAATTGCACTCGATTCGGTTGAATCACTCTTATTTCGATTATTTTTTTCTATATATTTTGGTAGTTTTTCCTTTATCCAACCGAATTCACGAAGTAAATCATTCACGTGATTTTCGTACTTTTTCACACTTTTTCGAATATCATCCAATTCTTTTATTCTCTGTTCAACAGTAGACATCCTTGCTCGCAAATGAATTTTTATAAACAATGTTCACACTCTACACACGGTTTGACAGTTCGAGAGAATCGAGATTTTGTGATGTGACACTAATTTTGCTTGCATTAAAGTGTCAAAATCGTGTATACAGAAATTAGGTGATGATGAAAAATGGATGACGTTGCGTCCGCACATAGCGAAAATTTAAATTTACGCAAAATTCAACAAAAACTTTTGCAATGGGAGAAAAAAGAGTGCTCTCTATCGCAACTAACAGACTATCAAATCGATGCAATCGAACAATTAAATGAGCCACAACAGCAAAAAACCAACGATTCAGGTCCGGAACTGGTGAGTTAAGCGACGATTATATGTCAACAATTGATTGAATTTTATTATTGTATTTTTTTGTGTTTCTTTCATGTAATTTTAGAATTCGGCGGATGATTTAACTTCAAACGAAAATGTTTCAACAAACGACAATAAATTCAACATTCCAACACATGTAATCGATTCAACGCAGGATTTTTTCAGCTGGTATCATGATGTTGAATCTCAATTATACAATGGTTCCGATGATATTTATCGACAATATTTTGAGCAATTATCAAGTCGACGCGATGAGTGTGATAATTTATTAGATAAAATCAATTTTGCGTTGAAAAACCTCGATGGACTCAAAACCGAATACAATTTCGTGTCGAATAAAACATGGTCACTGAATTCAGGAAGTGAAAAATTAATAGCCGAACAAAACAAATTGATTGGTATCACCGATGAGATCAAACGACGTCTGCATTATTTTACACAAGCCGAAAATCTACTGCAAATTCTACAGAGTCCCACGATTTCTGTGTCCAGTGAAATTTTTGCACAAACATTGACCCGAGTCGATGATTGTATTGCATACATCAAAGCCAATGTAAGTGAAAGTGTGTTCGGTTTCAAGAAATTGATAAATTATATGAAATATCTATTAGTAATAGATTCTATTACTCTATTTTACAGAACAAATTCAAAGATTCACCAACCTATTTGGCGAAGCACAATCAATGCCTAGCTAAAGCTGTACTTCTCATTAAAAATTACCTCAATCACATGTTTACAAACACAGCTGATCAAATAGCGAATATGAAAGATGCCCCAAAAACCGGTAAGTTGAACGCGTATTTTGAAACACACCATCTTTTACAACACAGTGTGATATTTTTAGAAATCATTGTTTTTTTTTTTTTTTTTCAAAATAAAAAGGAGACCAGTCATCAGATGCAGCGTTTGCAATGTACTATGGAAAATTCCAAGGAATAGCACCAAAAGCCAGTCAAATTATAAATTTGGTGGAAAGTCGCATTGAGCAAAATGTGGAATACGAACTGCTTTTGAATGAAATACACAAAATGTATTTGACACAACGAGCGGGAGTAAGTTTGCATGTTTCGATTGTTAAAATTGATCAATATATTAAGTTCAACATAAAAATCATTGCAGATAATGAGTTCAGAAATTGAAGTGGCCATTAAAAATCTTACGGCGTCATACAAAGGGGACCACTGTGCTTTGGTTCGATCATCATGTGCATTTATGGTGCACGTATGCCAAGATGAACATCGGCTTTTCTACCAATTCTTTACAAAACCATCACATCAATTAACGTAAGTTGTCGAATTCGATTTCTCAATTAGAATATTTTAACCAATTAAATTATGGTTCAATTGTTTCAGATCGTATTCGGAGGGAATTTGTACAATTTTATATGATACATTACGACCCTATATTATTCATATAAATCATTTAGAAACATTGGCCGAGATTTGTGGCATTTTAAGAATTGAGATGCTTGACGAACACGTAGCCCATCACGGTAATTTGCTATTTAAAAACATGATTTTATGTTGAAAACTACAAATTGTGCGTAAAATTTTAGCCGATTCACTGGAAGCTTTTGGCAAGATATGTTTGCAATTGTTGCAAGATGTTCAAGAGAGACTTGTGTTCCGTGCCCATTTGTACCTACAATCTGACATTCTGAATTACAAACCATCCGGTGGTGATTTGGCCTATCCAGAAAAATTGGAAATGATGGAGGTAAATTATGGCAAAAAAATATTCGATAAGTGGTTTGAAATATAATTTTCTTTTTGGGCATTTACAGAGTATAGCAAATTCCCTAAATGAAACCATGATGCGAAGTAGTGCTTCAATTGTGTCGATGAGTTCAGTTCATGATTCAAAACACATACCCAGAAGTAAATCTCACATTTTGAATGCATATTGAGTGTTCGTCTCTTTGATTCTAATCAATATTTCATGTCCATAGGTTCGCCAGCTGATCTGCATGGAATGTGGTATCCAACAGTTCGCCGTACACTTGTGTGTTTATCAAGATTATATCGATGTATCGATCGACCAGTATTCCAAAGTCTTTCACAAGAAGCCTTATCGTATTGTATTCAAAGTGTGTCACATGCGGCTCAATTGATTGCAACAAAAAAGACCTCAATCGATGGTGAACTCTTTGAAATAAAACATTTGTTAATTATCCGAGAACAAATTGCACCGTTCCGTGTTGACTTCACTGTGCGCGAAACAAGTTTGGATTTTAGTAAAACAAAAACGGCCGCATTTAGTCTATTGCAAAAACGAAAGCAACTATTCGCCATGGATAGCAATAATGCGTTATTGGAATTTTTAGTCGATAGTACGCCACAGATTAAAGAGCATTTGCATGATTCTCGAAAAGATGTTGACCGTCATTTGAAGTTAATTTGTGAGAATTTCATTCGAGATGCCACCAATTTATTAATTGGTCCGGTTGTATCGTTTATTGAACGGGCACAGAATCTACTCAAGGCAAATGCAACCACGCCAAGTGATGCACAACAACAATTGCAACAAGGTGCAGGAGTGAAAACTGTAAATTATGTATTGAGACAAACAACATGGGTAAGCTTACTTTAAAAATTACTATTCCATTATTGAAGAATGCTTTCCATTCTTTCGATTATTCTTCTATTACGTTCCATTACATATTGATTAATTTCCATTATTTCCATTCTTTTCTTTGTGATTAACCCTATAGGCAAGCCCACAGCAAATAAGCGGCGTTATTCAAGAATCACAACGACTTATTAAAAGTAAATTAAGTGGACTTCAACGTGCAATGCTTTTGTATCTTGCAAACAAAGACACTGAATTTATACTGTTCAGACCCATTCGGAATAATTGCATCAGTGCATTTGTTAAGCTCGAACAATTATTGACGACCAACGGTTATACAAAAGATGACATGATCATTACAAGTTGCCCCACAGCTGATCAGATTTCAATTCTATTGTCTAATACTAGTTTAGTGGCCGAAGATAATAAACAAGAAGCAGCAAGGAAATTTAGCACTACATCAAATTCAGGCCGTGAGAAAGGCATTAAAGAAGAAGAACCAAAACCATCTGACATTGAAGCAAGTAGTGAAAATGTTGAAGAAAACACCAATTAAAATTATATTTACTTATTAGTACAGAAAATTATATTTTAACATAATGTTGAATAAAAAAACAATAAAAATATATTTAAAAAATAAAATAAAATGTAGACATTCGTTGATTGAAACGAAATTGAAATTGCCAGTCTCCACACACTTCGAGATAAATATGTGACGACAAAAGTCTACACACATGTCAATTTCATCTGTCACAGTTTTCCATTATATTTTGGTCTCTTGGATCGGATGGACGACTATATTTTCATTATAAATTACGTAATTTGAAAATACAATTTTTTTACACTTAAACTAAATTTAAAACTATATAATCATTTGTTGTTAATTTTAGATTACATTGAAGTCAGTGAAGAAATCATTTTTAGCGAACCAAAATGGCCACACCACCAATTCAAGATCTTCCACCACCGGGTGGCTACAACCCAATCAATATAAAGCGTGTTCAATTGAAGCCAATTCTTAGTGCAAAAATGTGCTTTCTTGGGTTTATTGGTCTATCAGCTGGTGCAATGTATATGTTCTATTTAACCGATCGCAAAATGCAACGTGAAGAAATCGAAATGAGATCATGCCGAAATGTTTTACTGCCAATTGTAATGGCCGAACGTGATCGTGAATATTTGAAGCAATTGCGTCGTAATCGAGATGAAGAGGCAAGACTCATGGCAGATGTGCCCGGCTGGAAAGTTGGAACTTGGTTCGGCGAGCCAATTTATAAAACAGTTAAAAGTGATGCATGGATCGATCCGAGCATCAATGAATTCTATTGTCACACATCATACGACAAATTCTTGGAACGTGTAGAATTTAGACATCAATTCTAATTCAATTGTTTCACAAGAATTCTCCATAGAGAAACATAGTTACTAAAAAACAAAATAAATGCATACCAAATACATTTAAATTGATATTTCGTTTCATTCATTTTTAACATAAATTTTCATGTCAAAGTAAAAAAAAAAATGCATCCCTATCAAAATCTCGAATGTCTCGAAAGGTATGTGTATGTGTGAGTGTGTTTTGACACTTAACGCTGGTTTTATTATCATCTCGCGTTTGCTCACAACACTCGCATTTCACCTGTTCTATTCATTCATTCGCTTACACAAATGCGCTCTCTCTCGCTTGATGTCAAATACTAGAACATTTCAATGTTTATCGTGTGCGAGAATAATGTCAGTGTAATTAAAATGCTTAAATTGAATGATGTTTGTTGCAGTAAAACTTGAAATAAAATTCGAAAAATACAGTGCATTACATTCATGTCCTGCAATGAATGAAGTTGATGTTTTCGTGTGCCCATCCAGATTGGTGCAATTCTAAAGTGATGAATCGTTGTGCGGACACAAAATATAACCATTTGATGAATATTTTCTTTCTAATATATGCATATAATATTTTTTTTGTTCGTTTCTTTTATGGGTTTGTGTGTCAGTGACGCGAAATCTTTTTACTACTTTCTCTAAAAAAGCCCGTATTAAATGCGATTGTATTTAATGGAAATCAAACGGATGTAAAACTTTCAATCAAAAATGCGCGACATAATTTTCCGAATTTTTGTGTGTTTGCCCTGTGTTATTTAGTTTAGTTAAATCCACGTATGTGTCGTGCGATAAATAACTATTTTGCGGGAAAAAGAAAATAATAGTCAATATATATAGTGTGTGTGTACGAGTTTTTGTGTTTCATTCTTCAGTGTTTAGTTGAAAGAGTCATGACAGGATATGGTTAGAGAGCGTAGATTATTGCTGTTGTAAATATGGAAACGGGTGAAAATTCAGTTTTAAATTTAATTGAGAAAAGCTCAACTAGTTTAACCAATAATAACATTGGTACAATACAAATAAATGGCACCACAGTGACTGAGGACGATCACAGTGCAATTTACAAGGATATTTCGGAATTTGTTGTTTCAAATGAATTAGAAAACAACTTCAACAACGAACTACTGACAAAGAAGAAGCCAAACGTCTTCGAATTAATTGGCGGCGGCGGCGGCGGCGGCAGCAGCAATAAAAACTGTGATAGTGAATCAAATGATGATTGCGATAAAAAAACAATTTTGAATAATAACGATGTGACCATTGGATTTGTTGACGACGATGACGATGTGGTCGACGGGACAAAACACGGCGCTGGTATGGACGGCGACACAACCACTTTTAATCATTGCAATTCGGATGAAGCCACAAAAGGACATGAAAATAACATCGGTTAGTAGAACGGATACTTTTTTTTCCTCCACATTTTATGACCATTCGGAATATCAATTCCATTGTTTATGGACTGGCCAGTTTTATTTGGAATAGTTAAAGTTCAAAGTACAACATACAACATTGAGTCTATTCGTCTGTGTGTTGTGTACGCTATAATCGCGATTCACAACAAGAATTTTTCAATTAATTAGTCTGTGTTTGCGAGCGCAAGTGCATTCGATGTATTTATATTGCATTGCACTGTGACTCAGTAACCACAAAATATGTAGAAAACTAATACAAAAAAATATAAAAATACAGGAATAAAAGTTTTATGATATAAACGTTTGGTGAATGAGACAAAAAAATCGAGTATTCAAATGTATTCTCAGTGTTTTTCCATCAGCGCTTTGTTCTATCTGCAATAGAATGTGTTGTACAATGGGAAGCCCTGTGTTGTGAGCTACAACAACACTTTTTTTTCAATTTAATTTCGTAGTTAATTGAATTAATGCATGATTCAATAGAAAGATGAGCTAATGATGTTGATTTTGTACGACACATTGAAGTGAGTGTAATATGATACAAATGCCATGCTAGAAAATGAGTAGACAACATATCAAATCTAGAACAATTAAATTGCACCAATTAACACTTGGTTTTTAATGAAGACACATCGGGCCTATAAACGTCTGGTTAAAATTCTATCTTTAAATAATTATAATAATAATTCATTTAAAAAAAATTCTTCAAAAGAATGTTCATCTAATATCTTTGTGTTTTTTATTTTTATTTTAAGATAACATTATTTCTGGAGCGAACGTTGCTCCGGATTTAGCTGTTGAGATAGAAAATAATGTACCATCGACTGAATCTCATGTGAATGGAGTGTGTTCGTCTGCATCGTCATTAACACCGTGTTCGGGCGTTCGCCGTAAATCGAACACCCAATCACCAGCAGGAAAATCAAATGTTGAAACAAATGCGCAATTCAATGAAACATCCAGTACGGGTAGTGGAACCAAAAAGAAAATACGCCCAAATTCAACAGCATCAAAAACGTCACCAAATCGATCCGATTACTGTAGTATTTGGACGGCGAGACAAAGTTTCGAGACAAGTATCGATGACAGTCAATCAAATGACAATGGTGGTGCACCACCGTTGCCGCCACGAAATAATAATGCTAGTCAATTGCATCGGCCACTAGAACGATCGTGGCCACCACGCGTTTCACGTTTCAATAAACCGGTTGTAAATGAAAATGTTTTTCAATTTGATATCATTGATACGGACGATCCGGTCAATAGTGTTCATGATGTGGTGCCCGATTTTCAACGTGTCGATTTCATTCCGGGTGAATTTTTTGAAAATGGTTTGAAACACAAAGATATCCGTGGTGAAGAATGTGCGCCATTAGCTACACCCGAAACGGATGGCAGCTCCGAAGCAGCTATATTGAAAGTGTGCGGCGCAGCAAAAACGCCAGAAAATGTGATAAAACCATTATTGAAAAAGAAAATTGGCGCTGACAATTACATCAGTACAAAATTAACGCAAAAAGTTGCCGCAACCTCTGCGGCCGCTGCTGTTGCTGCCACATCAACAGCACCACCGAAAATATTCGATTTTCCAACGAATAATAATGAAGGAGCCAGCTCAATGAGTAATCTAGTCACAAATCACAATACACAAAATGATTCGGAGCAAACGCCTTGCGAAATAATACCATTAAAACCGCATAAACCATTATCGCGACAATTATCAGCAAATAATGCTCAAACATCATCGTTCGATTCATCGAACGATAGTCCAAGGTATGCAACAATGAACAATCATGATGGTGAAGTGAATCGTCATTTTACATTATGCCGAAGGCCATCGTTGCGATCGCCAAGACAACGAAGTCCACCGTCTGGATCGTCAACGCGTTCGGTATCGCCGCTTGAACTTGCGTCATCTTCAACCGAAGGAGCCGCATCACCATTAGCTCAAATGAACACAACTAAGTTTACACGACACAGTAGATCACTAACACGAACTAGCGATAGAAGCGCACATAATGTCAATTCAATTAATAACAATGGTCTTATTTGTCCACCGACACCAACGCATCATGCTCGACGCTTTCGTTCGCTTTCACTTAGCTTAGGAGCACCGGAACTACGATCAAGAGATAGATTTTTAATGGATAATCCATTAACCGATATGCGACAGCCAAATCTCATTAACGAAATGCGTGAAAATGGCGAAGGAAATGAAGGTTCGACATCATTAACACATTTAACAAGTACACGATTACCATCGATACCTGAACGAGCTCGACCCATTCAACAATCAACAACTGACGAAGAGTTACCCGGTTCGTGGGAAGCTCGAATGGATTCACAGGGTCGAATATTTTACATAGATCATACAACACGCACAACCAGTTGGCAACGACCAGGTGGTTCAAGTGGACCAATTTTCGGAAGTGGTCGCGAACAACATCGTCAACAATTGGAGCGACGATATCAATCAATTCGACGTACAATTACAAATGAACGAAATGACATGGTTTCAGCGAACGGTTCGCCACGAATGGATGGAACAGATTCATCGGATAATGATTTACATCCAGCCGTTAAACTATTGTGTCGGCCGGATTTTTATTCAAAATTACACACAAACGAAGAGGCATTGATTGTTTATAATCGAAATGCGGCATTAAAGCACATGATTTTACGCATAAGACGCGATGTTAATTGTTTTGAACGATATCAATACAATAAGGATTTGGTTAGTTTGGTTAATTGTTTTGCAATTCTTGATCGTGAATTGCCCAGTGGATGGGAATCAAAACTTGATTCGACGAGCAAACAATTTTTTATCGATCACACAAATCGAAGAACATCATTTATGGATCCTCGTTTACCGATTGATTGTCCACGCATACGTCATTTACAACAGCAAATTGAAGCACCAATGCCACCGCCACGACCTGCACTTATGCCACGGCCACCGACCAGCTCACCGGAAATACCCATTGCTTATAATGATAAGGTAATTTAAAAACGTGTACAAATATTTTCAAAATCTCAACCTAATCAAATGTTGACTTTTCTCCTTTGAAGGTGGTTGCATTCTTGAGGCAACCGAATATTTTGGAAATCCTTAAAGAACGACATGGACAGTCAGCCGTATCGAGATCACTTCGTGAAAAAATTAATGCTGTACGCGTCGAAGGGACCACCGCACTTGAGCGATTGAGTCATGATTTACAATTGACAATTTTATTGAGGTGAGTTTAGTCTTCTGACATTTTCGCAAAGGCTTCTTCACACAAAAGAAAATTACCATTTTACAAAGAGTATTTTAATTTGCATGGATGTATGCTTGTTTTTTTTTTGCAACGATGGCATTATTCTTGTTGTTCAACGGTTTCATTCAATTAAAACATAGATTAAAACATATCTAAGTTTTCCGTTATTCTTATTGATTAAGAGCGTCGCAAAGAACCGCGTGAAATGTGTCAACATGAGGGTTTCGTTATTTTCGTCTATTAATGCGTTTATTTTTTTTATGTTTTCATTAAATAAGTGAACGAATTGAATGATATGTATTTACATGTAAATTCAGATGCGGGCATATGCAAAAAAAATTCAATTCAACATATGTGCTCAATTTAATCAATATTTGTCCGTCTTTAGTACATACTTCTACAATTTTCAATTCATATGGATTTGCTATGTCGATGGTGAAATGCGTCTTAAAATGATTTAAATTAAAAAAAGAACAAAGCGGCTATCTTTGTACTTTAAATTGAGGAAATTAATTACTAAAGGCTCTAAAATTTAAAATCCTTCGCCATTCATTAAGTATCATAAAATACGTAATGTGAGAACAAAAAAATCGAATCCTCCCATTTCGTCCAATCAAATATAATTCGTTTTGATTCATCTAACTTTTTAGCAGTCTCGATTGATGGTAATTCTTTTCGTTAATGAAAAAAGTTCTTCCGCCATAAAATGTGTCTGCTAATTTTACACACAAAATATGGGTTCGACTATGGTTTTCAGTTTCGATTCCAGTTTCTATTCACAATGATTGACATGAGCATAAATATTTATGATTGAAAATCACCAAAACCTGTTTGGTATTTAACACATTGTTAATATTTTAATTGCTTTTAGCTCGTGTCATACGAATGAGATGTGCGTTTCAGTCAATATTTGTATGCTTGCAATTCAAAATCAATTCGAAATGCGACTCATATTTTTATTTAACGAAAACATTTGTAAACAAAGTGTAAGCACGACACGGAATCGTGAAATTACTCATTACAATAGGCAATAAAATGTGGAGGTGTTTATATTAGGTCGCAATATTTGACATTAGTCGGAAGCTTCTTTAACCTTATCAGATAAACGGTGTGTGATATAACATTTTTTTTTTGGATATTATTCCATCAGTACAACTTATTTACACCAATTACACAATCTTTATGATTTCCAATTAAAAATCATGCTCCATTACCAAATTGTACGAAAAATAAAAAAAATGCCATGTAAATCACATCGATATATATTCATAGCTTGTACTTGCATTCAACCGTTTTAAGTTTCGGTAAACTAATTGCGATTCTTTTTGTCTTTTCTTCAATAATAAAAACAAATAATCATTTGAAGAATCTCAACAATAAATTCAGAATGTTTGCGCTTTTGAAATGGCGTTCTCAGAATATCGCATATATCTCACGAGTCACTTTTTTTAAAATAGAATTTCACTTCTTTAAATAGAATTTCGTCAATTTTTGCAATGCTTAATGCATTTTAAAATGACCATTTTGCGCAGTATCTAGTGTAGTGTAGTCACTGTGTTTGAAATACATGAAATGAGCAAATATGAATCAGATTAGTTTGATGTCATTGTTGTGGCGAAAAGAGGTGATAAAATTCGTTGAAATTTTTTTTTACCATGAATTCAAAACTAAATTACAGTTAGACAGATCAATTTAAAGAAAGGGCATTGCTATAATTACATTTATATTATTTCTAAATATATAAACAAAGATTATTACTCATTGATAAAGCGAGTTTTTCGATAAAAATATCAATCATTGTAATGGCCATGCCATTTTAAATTTGTAGTTCGGATAATGTTTAACATAATAATCGATTTTAACTCACGCGGCCGCCAAGTCATTTGTTTGTTTCCGCTGGTGCTTAATCATTGAACATTTCTGCACGCGGGAAATCGTTTGGAAAAAAGACAGCAAAAAGCAATTATTGAGATAATACGATGGTTACTGTTAGCAAAAAAGACAACAAAAAAAACGACCGACCGTATAATTGGCCGATCGCTAACACTCCATCACATATACACGTACCGTGCATACATACATAGAATGGTCGGCAGACGATGGCACATGATATGAGTCAATCGATTTGCTTGGTCTATGTTCAAGCGCACATATATTTCCAGTCGTTCGTATTCGATCCGTTCGCACTTAACTAGTCGTCAATGTGTATAGAATTTCATATCTTTCGCGTTCGTATTGACTTCTATTGGAGTAAACAAAAAAAAGGCGAGCGCGAGCCATATGCGATTAAAATGCGTTTTTATGTGTGTGAAGTGCGAAGTGTGTTTTTTTGCTTTGACATTTTGTTCTTCATGCGTGCAATTGACTACAAACAAATATCCGATGTTGCAGCGTACGTGTATGGTGTGGCTGGCATGGATTTCGGTTGGAAAAATTAGTTTGCCGCAATCAACGAAGGCGCACGTTTCGATCTCTTTCTGGTCGACAAAACAGTACGATTTGAATAGTCATAACGGTTTGTTGATTCTTACCAGTCGCGTACAAAAAGAATAAATATTGACGAAATCAATATTATATAGTGTTATTGTTTTTTTTCGTCTTCGTTTCGATCGAACATTAATTAAAAATCAGTTTTCCAAACCATATTTTACGGTGAACTTGAAAGTGACTTGAAATTATAAATATTAAAAAGAACAAATAAACTTTCATTTTCGGTGGCCGTTCTTGCCTCAACGCGTTTTATTTTTCAATTCATTTTTGTGCATCAGTGATTCTTTAATGCTTTGTTTACGTATTGAAAATCGATCAATTTTAGCCTTTTGTTACCGAATTTATGCTTTTTTATGGAAATTACTACCGGAAATTGGCATTTTATTTGCTCATCGCTATTCAGTGATTTGTGAAAAATACACCATCATGCATGCATTTTTATGGGAGAATTTTGATGTCGAACTCTGTGTGCACTTAAATTCAATGAAAATGAGCTGCTTTGTTTGTGATATATGCATTTTATAGATGGTTCACCTGTTTAAGAGCACAGACGCCCCAATTTTTCCAGTAAATAAAATTAACTATCATTTTGTGGTGACTTATCTGGATGAAAACCAACTGAAAATAAACGATATTTTTGTCATGCAACGAATTTATTTATGATTTTATGTCATTTGTTAGAATAAAATGTGTGCGATTTAGCTGTGTCAGCCGGAAATTTTCATTAAAATATGCTGAGCTGTGCAAAACATTGTAACTCTATGATTCTATGTTTTGCGATGCGCCGTTGAACTTATTTTGAACTGTATTATAGTCCGTTAACCTATAAGAAAATTGTTTGGTTTCTCACCCGGCTTCCATTTCGGATTATGTCGAGATCAAAACAATTTTTTGCGACGTATAAACTACCGTAAATTGCAAGAATTTGATCTCACTCTTTGTGTGTGCACCGTGCATATTGTGAACGCATCGTCGATAAGCAGTAGATTCAATACCGGAAATTTTTTAACATTGCGCGATGTAAACACATTTGAACTTATCATTTTGTTGTTCCCATTCGTATTTGGTTTCATTATATCGTGTTATGTGTAAGCCTCCGATCATGCATATAAGCCATTTCGCGAGTGTGCATATATATGAAACCTAAGCCAATGGCTTTAATTAGAATATCACATTTCATTGTCTTTCCACTGATTTTTCTTCGAGATGAACATTTTCATTTGTAAATTGACAATTGTTTTATCTTTTAAACCAAGAGACATTCTTTTCTAATGTCATGCCATTACGATAGTCGAGCGATAATTTTCATTTCAATTTTTTTTAGTCTATTTTTACTTTTCATTGCATTATAATATTTAAACATTGACCGCAATCAAAATAAAAATACACAGTCAAACAACTTCCGGATTTTGGCCAAAATAACCCACAAATCGCATGGCAATTTGGCATTTGTTTTTATCTATTACGTTAAGGGCACACAATTTATTGTAACAAATTCCTTTTTCGCATTCCATTTTCTTCGACCTTCACATCGTTTCAAATACGCCTCCAAATTATGAACATATATATAGATGAATGGAATATTAAAACAACGAAAACAAAAAACAATCTATCTACCTGAGTTTCAAATACACAATATGTGTCGGACACTTTTTTTCCTTGCACATATATTTAAATGAATGTGATTTTTGCTTTGACGCAGACATGCAATCAAAGCGTGACCATTAACTTAATCAGTGTGTCATTAATAAATATTCGCACAGAATTTTTTTTCCGCCAGCTCCGAGTCGAATTTTATTAAGCATTCGAAGAATCACTAGAACCCGGTTTGCACCATTGCCGAAAACAAAACAAAAAATCACGCCCAGAACAAATATAAAATATGCGAAATTCAAATGATAAAAGTTTTTGGTGGTTTTAACAAGGTTTTACTTACCTATTGAACTGCAAAATTATCAATGATGCAGTTTTGTTTCAATTTTTAATGTTCTGTAATGAAAATAGACTCTTTGACACGCAAAACCGCGCGTCGATGATATTATCACTATTTAACATGTAACTTTTAAGTGATTCAAACAAACATGAGGACTTTTTGTCTAATCGTAGCGCCAACATTAAATTAGATTTAAAATCAATTTCAAGTACATTTGACTTATGATTAGATATAATCCATTCAACAGACTATTCTTATCATTAATCGCACAGTACAAATAATTTCGTCACGTTTTCTATTCTTTACAATGTTGTAATTCTAGCATAGGTCACTTCAAATAATGGTTGCGAGCAAATTACTCACACATAAAAAGTTATTTACGAACAAGCTTAAGCATTTGATGCATCTCGAATGGATCCAATTTATTTACACAATATATCCAAATCCCAAGATGTCACCGTTGAATTTGTATGTCTGTTTTAATTAAGGCAAAATTGGGGAGACTACTTTAAATGCTGGAGCAAAAAATAATTTGCTTTGTCAGCACGTAATGTTTTTTTTATATTTTAATCTTCGTCAATTGCAAATCTTTTGTTCATATTAAACGATGTGTATGTCATACGCGTTTTTTAAACACACATTTGGTATCATTACCGGCGGACTTTTTTCGTTGCTTTTTTGGTGCACCAAATTGTTTGTCCTCCAATAGAAATAAATGTCATATTTGATAGTTTTTTTTATTTTCAATGAATCATATTTTTTTTTAATTATATTGCTAACTTCCCGACGATGATTGAATTAACTATGCACGACTTTTTTTGATAATAATCACAAACAATAGCAGGTCATTGATTGATATATATATCATTCAAAGCAGTAAAAGTGACTAATAAATAAATGCGTCTTGAAACCAGAAATATAAACATTAAATCAGCGTTTTTGGATTGAAATTAAAAACAAACTAGGCAGTGATTAATCTGTGTGGTGAAATTGATTGAAGAATTACTCATATATCGATGCAATAATTATAAGTGGCATTTGAATCGATTGAAGTGATTAAATAAAATAAACAACGATAAAAACTTATACGATTCTCTCGGCTTTCGATCTCCCGATGTGTATGCTCAAATCAATTACCAACTTTTGTTTACTTCATACACATACCAATTGAAAATGAGTTTAGAGCAATTTGATCAACAGTATGGGATTCATCACGAAGGCAATATCGATCGTTTTTCAACTGTAAGTGTGCAATAGTGTCAAAACAAACACTTGTCGCGATGAATGAAACCCATCCAATTTATAGACACTCGAAATCATTTCGATTTAATTACAATGGATCAAGTGGAGCCATTGAGCCATCAACTACATAACGATTCTCAGGCACTTTAATAAAGACGATTGTTTCATATTCAAATATTGGTCTAAATTGAATTTGTAAACATTCAATAGCAACTCATTTTGAAGCCAATTAACAATTGATTTTCTTCATTGGGATTTTCTTGTTGACTCGGTTAATTTTTGTTTCATCGTAGTTTTTTAGTCGAAAAAAAATTCGATTAAAATTAGAAACATATCGATGTTTAAAGCATCCGATAGCATAAAATTAAGGAAATTTCGCTAAATTTTTCGCACCTTTTATTAAGATCATAAATTTGTGGGTCTCGAATTATTAATGAGATGCGGTTCGCTTTGTTCATGTAATTCGTACACACTTTTGACTAATTTCCGTGCAAACACACGTTCTGTGTTATATGAGCCAAGTTCATATTAGTCATATTTTTCACACCTCACATTTTATTTGATGGAGTAAAACAAAAGAACCATTTAAATATTATATCAGCAACGAAGAAAAATACGGTAGACGCTTTCGACGAGCAATACGACGACCGTCTGGAAATTAACGCCTCATGATGTACTTATCCAATTATGACAATGAATGATAAATTTTAGATGATTTTTTCAATATTTGCGCATACTAATTCATGCGATTTATGCATTTATTATTATTACCAAGCATTTTCGGTTTATCGTTCCTTAAACAGTGTCTGATATTGTTTTATCAGACATTATGATTATTTTGGTTCTATTTGTACATCATCCTGCATAACGTCAATATTAGAACAATTGAACAATGTTGAAATTGAATAAAATTCCATTTGAATAATATTCTCTTTCTCGCAAATTATATAAATTACTCCAAAAGACATTGTTGTCATATTTATATTGTTTGTTTTCTGCATTTAGATTTTTTACGCTTACCATACAATAATCAGTTTAAACAAACCATAAAAATTATCTGTCTATTTGTTTTTGTTTCAGTCTTTTCGAACAAGAGATAATGAGCTATGTTCCTGTACAGGCGAGAAGTCCTCAAGGTTCACCAAATTTGAATACAAATCGCATCGCCCAACGAGCACCGCCACCATTCCGACGTGATTTTGAAGCAAAACTTCGCAGTTTTTATCGCAAATTAGAGTCGAAGGGATTTGGCCAGGGACCACATAAATTGAAGTAAGTGATTTGGAGAAGATTCTTTTGAACTAGCAAATCTTTCATTTTATTGAGCAAATGATGGAATTTAAAAAATTAACATTTTCAAACCCACATTCAATAGGCTTCACATTCGTCGGTCGAATTTACTGGAAGATGCATTCCGACGCATAATGTCAGCAAATAAGAAAGACTTGCAGCGTGGACGACTGGCGGTTATTTGGGATACAGAGGAAGGTTTAGGTATGGTTGTAGCTTGAAATCACATAGTTCATCAGAAGATTGAAAATCAAATATGGACTTGTTAATTACCAATGATTTTCCTTTTATAAAAAAATTGTAGACTACGGTGGCCCATCTCGTGAATTTTTCTTCTTGTTATCACGTGAATTATTCAATCCATATTATGGATTGTTTGAGGTAAAAAAAAATAAAATTTACCTAATTTTTACCATTTTTAATTATATTTTTAACAATAATTCATTTATTTAGTATTCTGCTAACGATACATACACGGTGCAGGTGTCACCTTTGTCAGCATTTGTTGACAATTGTCACGATTGGTACGTTCTTGACTTTGAGTATTCCCTTTTTTACGTTCTGTACACATTGAATGACGTTTTTTCTTTGTTTTATTTTCAGGTTCCGTTTCAGTGGTCGAGTGTTGGGACTTGCATTAGTTCATCAGTATTTGCTTGATGCTTTCTTTACAAGACCGTTTTACAAAGCCCTGTTGAAGTACCAAGTGTCACTTAGCGACTTGGAGTCATTAGACATGGAATTCCATCAGTCGTTGCAATGGTTGCGCGACAATGACATTGGAACGGGCAGTTCGTTGGGATTAACATTCAGTGTTACTGAAGAGTTATTAGGACGCGTTGTTGAGCGTGAATTGAAACCGGGCGGAAAATCAATCGTAGTAAACGAACGAAATAAGAAAGAATATTTGGAGAGAATGGTAAAATGGCGATTGGAGCGTGGCGTACAAGAGCAAACTGAATCTCTTGTAAGAGGTTTCTATGAGGTTGTTGATCCACGACTTGTGTCTGTATTTGATGCCCGTGAGCTTGAATTGGTAATCGCTGGTACGGCCGAAATCGATATAAACGATTGGCGCAGTAATACGGAATATCGAAGTGGTTACCACGATCATCATCAGGTGATTATTTGGTTCTGGCAAGTCATCGAGAAATTTACAAATGAACAAAGGCTGCGCTTGCTTCAATTTGTCACTGGTACTTCATCGATTCCGTACGAAGGATTTTCGGCGTTACGTGGTTCGACGGGACCGAGACGGTAACATAAAGCTTCATTTGATTGGTGCAATTCAAATCTTCATCAATATTGTTCTCTCTTTTTTTTGCTTAGATTCTGCATTGAAAAATGGGGAAAGGCTTATGCACTGCCACGTGCACATACATGTTTTAATCGTTTAGATTTGCCGCCGTATCAATCGTTAAATATTTTACACGAAAAATTATTGCTTGCAGTAGAAGAGACAAATACATTTGGAATAGAATAATCTGAATTAACGAACGACTTTTGGAGTGTTCCAAATGGTGTTTTTTTTTTGTACTCACAGACACCAAATATGGAGTTACCGTTGTTATTAGCAGTGAAGGTCAAACGTGACCTAAACAAAGAAATATTTTTTTTACCAATTTTTCACGCTTGTAAATGTCCCGTGTGGTAGTTTTCTTTTTTCTAAGAACTTATTTACGGTTCTGCTGCAGTAGCGCAACGCGAACGAAATTATTTATTCGGAAAAATATAAGGGACTCGTCGTTTTAGAAATTGAGTGTTAAATTTTTAGATATAAGCTTTCGTGATTTTCATTTTGGCCAGACAGTTTAGAATAAGACTTTTTAAACATAAGTCATACTCTTAGAAAATACAGATGACAAAATCAAAAGTAAACTGAAGCGAAATCGCATTTTTTCATACATGACAACATACAGTGATTAGAACCCATTATTTGATCTGAAGGAAACTGTTACTACTTTTGATTTTGTCATCTGTATTTTCTAACAGTGATGGGCACATTAGCTGGATAATTTGCCACAAATGTATACACTGGCTAACGAATGTGTAAACCAGCACTAATATATACACTGAGTTGTATGTCACTCATAAACGTCAGCGAATGTCGTACGTAGTCACACAGATACATACACTAGTTGTTAGTATAAGCCAAGGCTAACCGATTAAATGCAAAAAATCGAAAATCGGGATGTAACATATTTGAACGTTTACTGGTAAGACAATGCTGGCAAACGAGAAACCATCACTGTTTTCTAAGAGTAGCGATGAAAAGCTTCTCCTGAAAAATTGCAAATAATACATGTCATATGAGTCGCACTAAATTCATGATTCATTTGTCTCCGTTTGTCGCAATTTTTCTAACAAAATTCTGCCATCGGTATTAATCTAATTGTGCTATGAACCGCATCACCGGGAGCGGTATTAATCTCATTGTTGATGAAACTTGAACAAAATATGGAATGGAATTCAATAGGAATGAAGCACAAGAGTTCTACACTTTGCAAACAAATTTTTTTTACACTTAGCTTTACGTAGTGTATTTATATTCAATTAAGTCAATTGAACATTCCAC